TATGGATTTTCATATCTCTAGTGCTGGCTAAGTTAATAAGTCGCTCTCCATTATCATTGGTTGTCTCATGGGGGCTCTCCATTCCTATGGTGGGTTGGAAGCACCATTCTTTGCCTGTTTTAGCATTAAGGTTCCCAAGAAGCATCACTATGTCAAGCCATTGTGTTCTCCAGCTCCTCAAAGAATTCATCTTTGTTTCTTCTATCGCTAACTTATGTGGGAGCGTGGGTGTTAACCAGTGTGATATTGAACCATCAGCCTCTCATTCTGAGCTTGGAAATCCTCGCAGAAATGCATTCAAATGCCAAGATCGTGTCTCATATATGCTTAGCTACAATGAAACCAGTACCTAGTTCATGTCTAGTACTTCCTCCATATAAGATCATCATGTTCTCCAATGTGATTATGTCATCCTCCTCCCACCATATTTCTTGGATGGCTGTGATATCCATCTTATATCTCTGTAGTTCTCCTATTACCTCCTTAAGTATTCATGCTCTATAAAGGCTTCTTACGTTCCAAGTTCCTATGTTCAGTCTGTTTTTCCAGTTCCATTGTCGATTCCTTTAAAGGCTGTCTGCTTGCTTTCTTGTGACTGTTTTGTAACCATTCTATTTTTTTATATGGTGGGGTTGTTAGCTCCATGCAATAACCCCCAACCTGGAGGACCTATGTTATAATATTTATGAAAATCTTTTTAGATTTATAACGTTTGTTTGCTGAATCTTATGTTTGAATCTTACAAATGTCTGTTCAAATGTATGTTCAAATCATCTTCATCTCACTGTTTATTAATATAATATACAGCGTGTGATCGGTTAATGGACAAATCGGATAATGAACACTTTTGCGAAAGATTTTTATCTTTGGATGACAAATACCTCACAGAATAAACACAAGAAGTGACATAAAATAATGAATACTGATTGGTCTTCCCTTGTCTTCAGGCAACAATTCAGAACTTTTTGGAGCGCAGAAGACGTTGACATCGACGCTCAACCCGGTTATATACTGATTGGATAGTATTCTCCAAATTTTGAAACTCTCCCTTGTTTCTGTCAGAAAAATAAAAAGCTGAAATTACAAGTGTTTTATAGTATTTGCAAGACTGTCAGGCAAGCACTCATTAAGTTTTGCATCAGTTTTGCAAGATGAGAGTATAATAGGAAAGATAGAGTGAGCTGATGTCTGTTGTTGCTGGGCAATATGGCTTGAACAGGTCTACAGAGTAGGCCACAGTTCAATCTTATCTAAGAAAGATACAGTATAATCGAGAAGATGGAAGATTTATTTTTTGGGGTCTCCAGAATGAATTAATCAAATTCTCATAAAAACCTATGGTAAATCGATAATCGGTTAACAAACGATTCGGATAGTGAATAAAGTCTTGGATGGATTATGTTCGTTAATTGATCACCCACTCTATTAATATATATGTTGTTATAATCTTAGCCAAAAGAGCACCATATAATGCTCCACTTTCTAAGATCATATTTTGAGTGCTGATTTGGGTATTACTATGTTTAATTTTGAAAAATCTTAATATATTTATTTTTTATAGCTACCTATGGAATTGGAATCTTACTGGATTCAACACATATTGATGCTGATTATTCCTTTCTATCTTCTACGTACTGGAATGAATGGTAAAAACAATTTGCTTAATTAATGTATTACTTATATCCAATTATATAATTCTTTATAATTACATGTTGCATAGTGAACTGGAAAGAATTTGAGGGACAAGTTCTATAAATGAATTTATTAGCTTGAAAAATATGAGAATAATTAATCAAAACAACATCTAGAACAGAAATTTTAAAATAAGAAAGCAAAAAATATTGAAATAATCATCATTTGATCTTTTGTTTATATGAATTCAGACATTTCTTTTATTCAATTTATGTGCCTGATAGCATAGAGTAGATATGCTGTTTAATCAAGAATTATTTCTCATGTACAGTGGTACCTCGTACTTTGAACACTTGAAAGTTTGAACACTAAATTCCACAAAAATTTGCCTCAGAGTTTCAATGGTGCATGCAGTGAAAAATATGCTTGAAGCATAAATGTTGTCTTTTGTGTGCCCGAGTCTTCTCTTGCTCTACATTACACTTGTACGTTCTCAGTCCTTTCTTTTGTTTTATTTTTGGTGTTTATGTGTTGTTTGTTGATTTTTCACAATTTTTTTTCATTGGCAACTTTAGGGCAGCCTGTGTTAGGGCAGAACTTTTTAAACCAATTTGACATATTCAAAATTTAGGACCATCTTTCCTATACACTTTAGGAACTTTTTTACTGTTTCTACAGCATTGTGTCCTTTTCGAAACTAATAAAATACAATATGCCTGATATGCTTATCTGAAGACATTTTGACTTGATCTTGTAAAAACAAAATATTAAGTAAAAAGTATAAAATAAACTTCTGAACAAAGAATACAATTTTACATTATCAATAATGTGTTAAATTTTACAACAGTTATAATTAAATCACACATCTATGTTAAGTAAGGACAGCTGTTTTAAAAAATACATAAAAACATTTTATTCAATTCAATATAACCCCAAATTATTAACTAGAGATTCAAGAAGCGTGTGGAAGCAACAAAACCTGAAAGGAAGGTTGTAGTCGAGGCCATCCATACACTGGAGCATGTACCTCTCCCCTCTTTGTTCAGGTTGCCTTTTTTTCCTAATCCCCAAGGGGACCTCAAATTCTATTATCAACAAACAGAAAATTCATGACTTACAGTCCATTCTGCAAATATAAAAAACTAATGAACAACATTTGATCATTGCCCCATACAAGTTCATCTTATTTCGACTAAAACTTGGCCTTGATTGTAACCAGTGCCACCTTGTGCGATCCTATGTTGAATCATAGTTTGAAGCTTCTTGCATAATTGTATGATGCCATTTTTTACAGCTTGTGATGCCCTTTTTGTATAATTTGCAGATGTTACTGGTTGTAGTATTGGTGGTTGAGATGAAAAAAAGTAATGTATTGTAAAGCATGAAAGCAGTTGAGTTCCCTGGGCTATAGGTTGTTAAGTTTAAATATTAATAATTATAAATTTGCTAAAATAAAGCACAAAAAAGTGACAAGGAAATAAGATTTGGTTGAAGATAACACTTTCCTTCAACTGACTTCTCTTCTGGGATATGTGACTCACCCAAGGAAGAGATGAAAAAAAAATTGGATTGGACCAGGACAACATTTTCATCCAATATTGCCTTATTTGGAGATACCTCAACACAGGAAACAGTCAAAAAAGGTATAAAAGGACCAACAAAAAGGTTAAGAAGGTCATCATTGTCCAATTTGGCAGTCATCCCTCTGTCTAGTCTTGTCAGCCACCCAGTTCCTAACAAATCAGTCACTAAAGGATAATGGACTTGAAGTGATTGTGACCATAATATTATGCATTATTGCAAAGAGTCTTCAGAAGAAGTAAGAGACTTTTCTCTCCTTTTCTAGGATGCCCAAGCCAACCAGTAATCACTGAACCAGGTGTTTAGCTCGACCCACAAAATTTATGTTAAACTCTTTCTCTCACAGATGCTAGGCACAAATAGATTATAGACTAGTCTGCTAAATATAGTAACCTGTATAGATAAATCTTATGATGTCATATTTATGGTGCATGTAAATCTGGCTTACATAAAATCAAATGTTTTGTTTTATTGTTAATTCAGTAGTTGAATGTTTTACTTTTGGGCGTCTTTGTGTGTGTAAAATTTTCCGTTTTTATTCCTTACTCTGTAAAAGTCCTACATACATGGCCGCTTGCGCAGTTTGAAGGTTCTTGAGAGCTGAAATTCACAGGTGGTGCCAGACCTGACTTGAGGGGATGCAGCTATCCCATTCACACAGTACACATTTGGCAAATCTGGCAGCCCTGTTTAGATGCTGAAGTTGACAGTGTGCAACTAGTAAATGCAATTTTTATTTTATTATACGGTATTTACATATCTTATTGTTTTCATTTTAATTTATTATTAGGGCATTTAATTGTTATATTTACCTCAAATTGTGTGTGTTTTCTGTTTAAGTTTAATGAAATGGGTGTTGTTTAGAATCAGGGAATGGATTAATTGACTTTCTATTATTTCTAATAGGAAAAATTTGATTTAAACTTTGAACAGCCTACTAGAATGAATTAAATCAAAGTATAAGGCACCATTGTATTTGAGCTAATACAATGTGCTATGCTTCCGATAAATAGTGATTTATTAGAAGCATGGCATATTGTATTATTTATGAACTGTTAATGTGCAGTCATTGAAAAAATAGTTACACTATCAGGTAGAATTGTCCAATTTCTGAAAAACTTGGCTTACAGCTATATCTCAGAGAGGTATATAAATGATTACAGTTGTGGTCTGATTATATGCCAGGTATGACACCAGTGTGCCGGAAATTTGTTACCTCAGTATCCTACAGAAATGACTTGCAGATGCTTGCTGTGTTCAGAATGTTGAGTGTATCTGTTGTTTGTAGGAGGTCAAATCCAGACATCCCTTTATAACATAGTCAAAAACATTACATACAAAATGAGCTTTATTGTTAGGCTGAACAAAACAGGAAGGTGTTTTTGTCAAATTGTCCACCAATGGGCCATTCTGACCTAACTGTGGTGAATATTGTGTGCACAAGGGGTAGACTATATGCCCCAGATAGACTACCAGAAAAGATGATTGTCTGATGATTGTCAAAAATGAATAGCTTCAACATCACCTTTGTCTATCATCCGGAGATAGATGGAACCCTGTCTCTTTCATACCATTGGCAGGTGTCTAGAAGAGACAAATTTGCATGCAAAAATAAATTTAACTACAGTATTAAGTTTACCAGGATATGGTGACTTAACTGCCTACCTCTAGCCAAATTGATTTATATCTTAATTATTTATTAGCTTTATAATAGCCCAATAATTTGCATTTAAATAATTTCAAATTGGTTTTTTTTCTTTATTTGTTACTATAATTTTTTTATTTAGGTGCCTATACAGTGGAATGTTTGAAAGATTTCAGTTGGACTGCTATGACATTAGGAATCCTTTTTCTGTATCATTTCATTTTGCTTCAGATTTTGGGAATTGTAAGTGTTTTATTATTATAATTTTAATTTAATTACAGGTATACCTCGAGTTACGTCGTTCTCGATTATACATCGCTTGTCAAAAAATATATAGAAAAATAAAAATTGAGTTTGTCATTTTATTCGACTTTACGTCTGTCTGCCACAAATATTGAAGTTGTTATATCACTAGAAAAGCGTTAAAACACACTAAATCATATTAAAATATGTACATTTACAGTAAATGTTAATATAATTATCATAAATCTTAGAGAATGAAACATGAAAACATCTGTGTTTCTGTGTTGTCTTATTTAGCGGTCTTTAAGAGCTTAGTATTGGCATTTTCTACAGTAGTACCAATATCTAATGTTTAGCATCGTTGTCAGCGCCACTCGATATTGGTAAATTTAATATAAATTACCATATTAGTCCAAATATAACGCGATATTTTTCAACCATTTATTTTCCATTAAAAAATTGACTCGCACTAAATTCGGGGTTTAAGTAATGGAATTTAATATAAACAAGGACATTTTCCTACAGAGGTTGCCTGTGTTATTAGCTATACAGTAGAGCGTCGTTTATCCGAAAGCTGGTTATCCGAAANCGAAAAAAGTCTAAGCCAATTAACGTAGAGATAAGAACCCGCTGGATCGGCGATAAAGATTCTAAAGCGTTTGTTGAGGAGATAAGAATTATCAGACCATTGTTAAGTAGAGATCGGAGTTACACAACTTGCTCGAACCATCGCCAGCAATCGGTTCCACCAATTACTCCCCTCTTTCTCTTTCTTATCGCCAAATTTTATCGCTTAAAAATTGACGTCGCCTGCCGAATCGTTCACAACTCGCAATTATTCTTTGGTGAAAACATGAAACTCGCTTTCCTCCTCTTGGCCGTTCTAGTTGCCGCCGTTGCCTCCCAGGTATGTGCCATGTTCTCGAGTGAGGATTTCGTTAACTCACGTTCGCCATTAATCTCTATTTTTAATGTTGCAGGATGTCGATCCTGAAAACGACATTTGGCAGCCCGAATACGACTACGGTAAGCCCACCCTCTTCTATTGGATTCCTAACTATTTATAAATTTCGCCTTGATATAACGGTAGTACCCCTAAATTTAATTCTTCACGTTAATTCTCGCCATTCGCTTTTTTCTAGGCCCGGAACATCCGGTCGTGGTGAAGGGCAAAAATTACATATACGATTACAAAAAATGGATTCCCACTAAGGCGGCCAAACATTCTAAATCTGGAACTACCAAAAAAGCGAAAGGTACCAGAAAGCCGCGAAAACCTTACGACTGGACCAAATGGATTCCGTCCCACGTCAAATCTTTCATTCCCTCGTCCAGCAAATCCTTCGACTGGAAGAGTTTCGTTCCAAAGGATCACCAGTCTTTCGTTCCTTCCTCCTTCGGATCCTTCGATTGGAAGAGCTTCGTTCCTTCGGATCATCAATCTTTCGTTCCTTCCGATCATCAATCCTTTGTTCCTTCGGATCAATCTTTCGTTCCTTCCTCCTACGATTGGAAGAGTCACATGCCTGACAACAAGAAGTCTTTCGATTGGAAGAGCTTCGTTCCTTCGGATCAACAGTCCTTCATTCCTTCGGATCACCAATCCTTCGTTCCTTCGGATCACCAATCCTTCGTTCCTTCGGATCACCAATCTTTCGTTCCTTCCGATCAGCAATCTTTCGTTCCTTCCTCCTACGATTGGAAGAGTCACGTGCCTGCCGACAAAAAGTCTTTCGATTGGCAGAGCTTCGTTCCCGAGGACCAAAAATCCTTTATCCCTTCGGATCACCAATCTTTCGTTCCTTCCGACCAGCAATCTTTCGTTCCTTCCGACCAGCAATCTTTCGTTCCTTCCGATCACCAGTCTTTCCTTCCCTCGGAATTTAAGGCTTTTGAATGGAAGAGCTTCATTCCTAAGGATCGCCAGTCTTTTATTCCGTCCGACCACAAGTCATTTATTCCTTCCGGCCAGAAGTCTTTCATTCCCAAAGAACAAAGGGCTTTCGATTGGAAGAGCTTCATTCCTAAGGATCGCCAGTCTTTTATTCCTTCCGACCACAAGTCTTTTATTCCTTCAGGCCAGAAGTCTTTCATTCCAAAAGAACAAAAGGCTTTCGATTGGAAGAGCTTCATTCCTAAGGATCGCCAGTCTTTTATTCCTTCCGATCACAAATCTTTTATTCCTTCCGGCCAGAAGTCATTCATTCCAAAAGAACAAAGGGCTTTCGATTGGAAGAGCTTTATTCCTTCCGACCACAAGTCANGCATTTATAAATAAAATACAGAACTGGGAGCGATTATTTATGGTTTAGCGTAGTGACAAGTAAATTCGACTTACGTCGTTTTTCATCTTAAGTCGCCTCTCCTGGAACCAATTACTGATGTAAGGCGAGGTATACCTGTATAATAAATGAAATGTTAAAAATTTTTCTGAAATTATCGTAAATAAATTAATATGTTAGAAGTGATTTTTCTTCGGTATAGTGAAAGCTAAGTCATGAATATTTTGCTTATTATTTATAGAAATTTACACTTTATTAAATTTATTTTATTGTTTGTATGTCATTATATGTAATTTCAAATGCCAAACAATGCTTATATTATAAAAATGAAGTTGTTTTAAGCAGCCATTTGTAAAATTTATTTATTTCTTTTTGTAAGAATTTTGTTACAAAGCAAAAAATTGTAGTGATAAGTTCTTAGTTGTTGCAATCTATAATGGTCTGTTCTTCTACACACAAATTCGAGTGTGTAATATTATGACATTGTCCAAATGCCAGGCTGTAATTTTTAATCTTAATTTTAAAAAACTCGCATTGGAAGTTAATATTTAACTAATTGAAGCTTGTAATTCTCTGGTCTTGATTTTCGTCTATTTAACTTCATTCTCAAAGGACAGACGGACAATAGTGCAAATGTATAGATCTACAATTTGAAAATTGCAGTCCAATAACTATTATACGATACAGGATAGTCTTGTATATCAATACAGTGATTTTTATAGAAAGGAGTTATAGGAAAATATTATGCATTTATTAAATAAATATCATAAAACAGATATAATAATACGTTGTTATGCTCATGCAATTACATCAGAAAATAAATGCACGTACAGTACTAGTTTTATTAACTTGGATGGAAATACATTTTATGTAATGAACACAGTGTTTTTAAATTAATATAACAGCCTGTTGAACATTACTTTCAAAATGTATTTTAAAAATTTAATAACTGCAATAATTATAAAATAAAATGTTGAAAAATAAACTAAAAGTGCATTATCTGTATATTAAATTTACTGAAAATACTACATTGTGTTTCTGGCTCCATATTATTATATGTATAAAATACTTACTTTCAGATAGCCAACTGTTGGCTATATAATTTAAACAGTTGGCTACCTGAAAATAAGCATTTTATGCAGATGCTAATGAAAATAATTTATCGTTAAATAAAGGGTGGCCGTAATAAAGTCTAGAAAAATAGGAAAATGTATTATCAATAAATTATGAATATTATAAAATAGGGTTATATTATGTTATTGTGTTGTCCTTCATTAACAATGCAAGATTCACTGTGAATTATTGCAATAAACATGTTACATTAATAAAATAATATATAATTTCAAGATATCATGGCCATCCTATACTTTTAGATATAAGGTAGTGTTAATGTTTATCCATACTTAAGCAAATATCCTCCTATCTTTTCGTTATTACTCAAGATTTATAATAAAATTTGATTTATTTTCAGGTATAATATGTACAAAAGCAAACATTATATATATTTCTAATAAGACTGAACTAATGGACAGAATATCTAATTAAGTATAAATATGAGAAAAATAATTGAATTTTATCAAATTTTTTTTAAAAGATTAAAAATGAAGCTCGATTTTTGCTGCTGTCTGTTCATTAAGTAACGTTTACGTAATTTATATTTGTGAAATAATACTATTTAAACTTTTATTTTTATCAAAGCGGCTTTAAAAAGCTGTTTTTCAAGTTTATATCAAATTATACAATTAAGAATTATCATTATCATACATTTATATATGTGATATGATATGATATGACTTATCACTTAGTAGAAAATCATATGCTGAACATTAGATAATTGTAACCATGAAGTAAACAAATTATTTTATCTCACACTCTGTAATTTGATACAATATTATTGTAAACAGTTATTACACTTCTTTCATTTATTCCAGTTGCTGTTTTGTCACCGTAATAAAATTTTAAAAGTTTAGAGAATATCAAAACACTTAGCTTTACAAAAATATAATGATAATTCTTAAATAAAATTCTTCTAAATCTTGCTTAAATTAATCTGAAGCTTGATTTAAACTAACTTGATGCTTTATTTTAAAATTAAAGCAATTACGGTACTTAACAACAGTTATTTTTGCCATGATTCGTATTTTTTTGTTCTTGATGTCAAATAATAATAATATACAGGTTTTAAAATTAAGAAGCCATCAATCGTAGATTTTTTTTCTTTTTGCGCACAGAATTACCTTTAAATTTCACTGCAGGATTTAACTCTTGCAGTTTTCCTTTTGTAATTAATAAACTATATTTGCCGGTTTTTGTAAAATGCTTTATGAACGTAAATAAATGATTTTCCATTTCATACATTTTTACAACTAATATATAATAGATGATGATATTCTAAACAATTACTATGAAGTTTTTTACTTTAAGATTCAATTTTCATATAAATTTTTACATTATAATTTGTCTAAATGATGAAAAAAATTACCAACATTTAAAATAATACCATATTTATCAAGACAAAAGACAAATTGTTTGTTTTTCCCAATCTTCAACATTCAAAAGTGAGAATTATAATATGAAAAAGTAATGTATTACAGGAATTCATTAGTCATTAACGTAATTTTGTAAATGCAAAGGTAGGTTAATAAAATTATAAACTCTGAAATTATTATTCGGAATTAATATACTAGAATTTTGAGTCAAAATCTTATCTGTACCAATTTATTTCATTTTAATTTAAGTTGAATTATTTTATCAGGGATTAAAAATGAAGCGAGATTGATCTTTTCATTCTTTACTTTTTAATATAGGAGTTAATTCTCTATGGTAATTCTATTCTAAAATTTAATAGAACCAAAATTTGTTACTATATTTTTCTTACTAATTAAATCTAAAAATTAAATTAAATTTTTTATTATTATTTCAAACTCTATTCTCTCTGCTTTATAACTATTTTTATTGTATTTAAAAAGTACTGATCTGTAAGGGATTGAAATGAAAAAAAAGAACTGATCCACGAACACTGCAGACTAGTTTAAGCATTACTATTGGCTAATAAGCAATTATCTTAATAAAAATATTTATTACTTTTTAATTATTAACTGGTTAGAAGAAGTATTTAAGTGATAAATTGACCACTTAAAACTGGCTGAAGAATTTATTGCATTTGGAGATTGGTTATTAACTTAAATAGCTATTTACTTAGATATTGAGGCAATCATTATTAGTTATTACAATCTTAACCAGTGCTTTAAACATTGTTTTATTTGTTATTATTAAACATTTTGTTAACAGCCTAAAATTGTTAGTGTATGCAATTAAAATACGAAATGCCCTCAGTTAAAGAGGATACTCTAAAACCTAACAGACAAATGACACTATATGAATTACTATTAATTAATGATGCTGATTGTATGATTCTTAGATTTATTAATTATAATTATTTAATTGTTTTAATTTGTTCTTTTAATTTCGAATTAATGAAACTCAAATTTCAACTAAATGTAGTTTTATGTTGTCTAATGTTATCAATATAGGAAAGTCCCGAAGTTATTACCGTAAGCAGATTTTATTATATTTATAAATTAGTTTGTTTATATTCTAAAATATTTAAAATGCATATCTTAGATTAGTGTTTCTTAATCTCTTCTTTTACTTGGGTATAGTTAGAGATTTACAATAGAAAGAACATATAATTAGACATTTAAATTTGATATTTGTGTGTGTGTGTGTGTGTGTAGTTTTTATTTTTAAAAATTAAAAATATCCCAAGGATGCATGCACCCCAGATTAAGAACCACTGTTAATACAGTGTTAATATCAATAACATGTTTAATAAATTATTGCGTGATTTGTTTTTTGTTTATTTTACTGTTTCTTACATAAATTTAATTTTATTTTTAAAATTAGGTTACCCAAGTTAATTTGAATAGCATGGTCTGTCCGGCAGTGTCCGATCCGTTCCGGGGTCAGAATTATCGTCTCTGGGCCATCGGTCACCAGACACTCTTGGTGTTAATAGCCGGAAAATTGTACACAATAATTTCTCTGACTTTGCTTCAGATAACGGGTTCATTGGAATGGAACGGAGAAAAGTACATCGTCCTAGTCAAGACCAAAGACAGACAGTTCTGTCCTATCTGCAGCGCGTGCGTTCAGGAAAATAATTGTAATGCCGACGAAGTAAAAATTAAGGAAGAGTAATAGTCACACCAAAAAAATTAATGTCATTATTTGTAAGTGACATTTTATGCAATTTTTTTCGCAAAATGGGTTAGTTATTAATTTATTATAATATATAAACACTTTGACATAAATCTCATTAAAACACAAAAGACATAAATTTGTATGATATATATTAAAAAATTTATAGAAGTAATGTCTTCTTCCACTAATGTGCCATTGGTTACTCTAGTTTATTATGCAAAATAAGTACTTATTTTATAAATAGTCATACAGTAAATGTCCTAATATATATCAAAATAGATGTACGAGATGGTCTTTTTTTATGCATTTCGAGTTAAAAGTAATTATCACTTTATAAGCACTAAAAATCAGCACTTTAAATTTTAAAACCATTTAATTTGTAATGATTTTATACTCATCGACCTAAAAAAAAAAAATAATGTATATAAATGATATAGTACATTACATTGTATAGAAATACAAATATTGAACTTGTACAATTTTGATGTATAAATGTTGCGTTATTTATATGAGAAAGAATGTTAAAATAGAATTGATATTTGTATTAGAATAGTGTGGATTTACTAACTGTAGGAAAAGTTGAAAGGAAATTTCAAAGACGATAGAGCTAACGGCTACATGATAACTTACGGAAGATTCCTAATTTCGTCGAGGGTCTTCCACATTATATCAAGTTTACCAAATTTCTGAATGGGGCATTGCAGTCGTATATCAATTTAAAATGCTTATTCACCATTGAGAACATAATTTTGTACTCAATAGTGAATAAATATTTTAATGGACAACAAAAGACATATTGTTGTGCATATTATTAGCTTTAATTCTTTCTGTCCAATTTATTTGGCTTAAACACACTTGATATATTTTAATTTCTGCAGATATAAACAAGTAGATTTGCCATTCATTCTTATTACATATGTCACAAAAAATGATTTAAAAGTATAAAACATTGTTTTATACATTTCTTTTTGGAGATTGAAACATAAATGAGCGCTCGCTTCTTTCTTTTGCAAATGTTGGAACTAATTATAAAAATTTAAACGTAACTTTCCTATGAAAACTTTAGTTAGTAAATACTTTTCTTGATTATCAATTTATAAGCTATTTATATCATAAGATTGAATTAACTAAAGTCAAATTCAGTTTCCTACTGAATAACAATTCACACACAACATTCCTTTATATAATAAATTGCTTAAAAGCTGAATAAACAATTCTAATTATTCATTAGTAATCATTACAAACATAATTTCAAGAAATGTTTGAAAAAAGTCTTATGGGAGATGAGTTTTATTCTAGAAAAGTAAGGCATAATGTTACTATTGAGGCTCATGATTTATGCCTTATATTTTACACTGTGATAAAAGCACAAGGCAAAGACAAACTTCACATTTAGATTTGAGTGCAATAAAATAAGACAAATAAGAAGAAAAACAAGGGGGAGAATTTGTTTTCAAAACCTATATCAATAAATATTTGGATAAAGCTATGACATTGGAGTTTTGATAAATGTATAAACTCCAATGTTACAGGTTAATTCTAGAATACGTGAAAACATATCTGAATGATTTTTAACTATTAAGTTTGAATTGTTTGTTTAATGATTATTAGTGAAAGGTAGTTAAGTGAACAGAAAGAAATTCCTAATTTATAGATAGTTTAACAACCATTTAAAAGATATATTCTTTTTCATTATTTTAAAGTTCTGATTTGAATTTTCTAAACATATTAAAATATTTTTGTAGCAAATTCTGGCTTGATTGAACTTCTCGTCAAGCCAGATTCCATTTGTATTATTCTGAACAAAATGGCATATTTTTTCGAAGAAAACTAAACAGATTTTATAATTGAATATAAGCACTTTCAAGGTAAATTTTTTTTTTTTTAATTTAAAATTAATATATGTAATTCTAAAACTGATTTATGATTATACTAGAGGTGAGACTAAAATAACTTGTGCATTATTATTATTATTTTGTTCTGTTATAATGAAATTTTTGAAGTAAAGTCGAACGTTTTGTTTGAAATGTTTCATAGAGGTACGCATTGTTTTAGAAGTCAAATATTTACATAATTTAAACATTTCAAACAAAGTATTTTTTAATAAAACTGAATGTTTTATTATACATTTTTAAAAGAATGTATTAGTTATAAAGATTACAACAATAACAACTTATTTTAAAAGATTATTTTATAGATTTTATATATATATACATTTTATTAATGTACTTTGTAAACTTTCCAACCACAAGAATATATATATATAAGGAACTTTCACATTCCAAATTTTAAATTGTAAACTAGTCTATGCTTTAAACAAACTGTCTGTTTCCCAAGATTCCATTTGTCTCAGTCAATTTTGTTTTACTTTGATAATTTTCTAAGAACACTCTTTCATTTCTGATATTTATTGTCAGGCTCTTATTTCGAAAATAAATTTCCTGGTATAATTGGTCACATTAAAAACAATTTGGTGGGTATGTTCTTGAGACATATATATACTGTCATTTCGGACAAATCTGGAAGTAAACCTAGTGGATTTGTATCTGGGGGACAGGAAAAGTAAGAGAAATCAAAACTTATAATTTGAAAATAAGTTTTATTCCATCAAAATAAGAGTTAAAATATGTATAGTAAGCAAATAAGTGTAGTGAATACAGATCAGATGAGCTGTTTCTGAATTTGACCTTCAGAATAAGATGAATCAAGTTCTGAAAATTTATTAATGGATTCCTTTATTCATTAGTAAAATTCCTGATTTACGAAAATTGAATTTTTCATTGATTCACCTAAAAAATTGTTTTTAATTTAAATAATTTATTCGTATTTTTGTAGTTTTATTCAAGTTTAAGTGTGTTGTTTTATTGTGAAAATCAAACGTTTTCAGACTATCTATTCCTTTTCAATCTTTCTCAAATGTAATTTTTTAAATTAATCTCATTTTTAGCTTATTTAAAGGTCGAAAGATCATTCAAATCATTAATAGTTACCATTTAAAGAAGGTTGAAGATATTTTTAACCTAGCTTTAAATAACAACCACCTGACAATTTTCATATCTTTAACTGTTTAAAGATCTCAACAGAGAATTGTTTGTACATACAATTTTCCTTGATTATTGGATAGTTTTTCATTGAGACTTATTTAGTCTCCTTATTCACAAAATTAGAATGAAATTCTTAATTGTTTAAAGACAGGAAGGCATTACAAATGCTTTTATTCATAAGTATTTAATTTAAAGAATTTTTTTTCTTTCTTATGATGAATAGTCTGCAACTTTCTTTTCCACTTAAGTACAAAATAATAAATGTAATAAGTATATAAGAGATTGCCAAAGGTTAACAAGCATGATACACTATAATAAAATATTATATAATATGAAACGAGGGTGGTAGATCGATATTAAAGTATGGAGATTTTCCGAGCTGTCGGAATTTCCTTACATGGAGGAATAAATTTTGAAAACTGCCATAAAGCTTTCAACTTTTCCTAACTTAATATTTAATAAGAAAACTCTGTGAAAAAGTTTATAGTCACAATCCCTTTCTATTGGTAGAAATTAAATTGTAAGAAATTCGACTAAAGTTTTGATCGGAATAACTTCTTTTAAGACTTTAAATAAGTTTTTTAGGATAAAGTTTTATTACATTATTCGTATAGACCAGTGATTCCCAAAGCGGGATCTACCTCCCTCTTGAGAGCTGTAGAAGACTCTGGGCAGTGCTGGAAGGCAAGAGGTGATAAAGGTGTTGGGCACTACCATCCCTTTGGGGTAATAGAAGACTGAAGGACACTGAAGACAAGGGGGTGATAGGGGTGTTGGAAGACAGAGGAGACAAAAATTAATTTTGAAACAATAAATATGTAGCATACATGTACTAAAAAGGGGCAGTAGTCCGAAAAGTTTGGGAAACACTGGTATAGACTATGTATTATACGTGACAATATAGATAATATATTTAAAGAAATTGTTATAATAAGAGAATTATGTTTAATATATATTAATTTAAATGCTATTTAAACTATTGTTATAAATGAATCAGATGTAAAGGTATTTATAATGGAATACAGTGGAATTTCTGATTTGACATTTAAGGGACCATTTGTTTAAGAATTCGTAAGACATATTACAAATCGTCAACCGACCGTTTTGGGATGTGTTTTATGCAACATTTTTTGTATTAATTCGGGTGAGACTCATCGAAAAAACTAAAAAAAAGGTCACGATTCATTTTGTGCCGTTTGTAACAAATTATTTTAATGTAAAGCCATTTATTTTGTTTTACCTTATCTCGATGTATTTACTGTATCATTAATCGTGAGAGAGACCATTAAAGCACCGAAGTTGTACTCGACTCGTATTCGATTTCCAAATGTTTTCACTCTAATTTTGACCTTGTTTGCAGCTTTGTCTTTGTATGACACTAGGTTACACAACAGAAGCATTAAGCGCGCGCAGAGAATCTCATCGTCTGGAGGAGCCTCAAAAATTACGTAGCAAAAAGGCATGCCTTTAAAATTTTAGCGAACGGTTAAGTGCCCACTAAGAGGACCAATGGATAAAACCACTGAACATTGGTCGTGAATTCGCGGCCGGCCACGTGATTTTCCGGGGTTTCTTTACGTTAGTAACACCTAAATAGGGGCCACTTTATCATAAAAGTTCTCCGGAAAGGCATCCCCTCAGAAGATTGCCCACGTGTCGGCATATATAGGAATAAAACTAAACTGAACGCTTTTCACACCCGGCAAGAATACTGGCATAACTCATAAATTGACGATTTTACTAGCTTTTTTAGTATAAAATCGTTTTTACGTAAAGGGCCTTAAAGGAGGTCGTGTATCTCTCCAGTAGGGTCGGACTTAATGACTCTCTTACTCGTTATATAGTTATAAAAGTATTAACGAATTACGAGGATCATTCATTCTATACATCACATGTCTCCTTCCATTCCTTTCATCTTACTGTTCACAAAATTTTTGCAAGTAATGAACTTGCAAAATCTACCAAAACATTAAAACATTTTTCCTTTATTGGAATAAATATTTTGTTAATATTAACAAAAACAAATGACGCCAATGTTGTTAAAAAAGTTAACAATGATACTAGAGAGAATTACCCACAACTAATTAAAACGTAAGTTACGGATAATTCGGGAAAAACATTCTGTATAAATTCTAAATAAAAAGAAAAAATCTAGCAACGAGTTGCTTAACTTTCCCGGCTGTTATGTGATTTAATTTTAAAAATAACTTTTATATTATTTTTATTTATTAATCTTGATGCCCCACACACACAATTATCATCTGGTCATGATATTTTATTATTAAAAAAAACTATGCTTTTTGTCATTTATAGTTAGTTATATGATTTTGAGGATGGGGATGAGTTTTATAAACAATTGTAAATGCTAATAATCCCACCTCTTTCGATATATGATACCCCTTTCTATATCTTCGTCCATTCGACCTTTAACCATCAAAACTCAATTCTCCTTATACTGAGTCTCAAAATATGGAGATTTGTATAAAAAAAGAATGTATATCCGGAGGGTCAAATTTGACACGATTCGAATACTTCTCTTATAGTGTATATCATATATGTGGCCATTTCATAATTATATATTAGAAAAAATTTAAATAAAATACGAGAGATGGCGCAATACGCAATTTTAAATGTCGTTGCCGAGAAAGTTAAGCAACTTGTAGTAGTTGGTCGTGGGCTCTAGCCTGGCCAACGTTAGCCTGGGGGGTTGGCCACGTGAGTTATTCACTATTTCAGAATTTGTCTTACTAATGAGTTGAAAAACCTGCGAATTCTTTATTTAATTACAACAAAATTTCGGAAATTATTTTAATAAAATAATTTTCAAATCGATATTAAAACTTATCAATTGCTCAGATTGCAACACAAAAAGATAAATTTCAGGTCGTCGATTAACAATTATGACATCATTCAAGTGTCGTATTATCATACTTTATGTACATAATTGAATAATTTCGTGGAATCAAATACAAACGGTTTCTACAAAAAATCAGCAATATTATTATTTATTGTAAAATATTTAAAATACAGTAAAACCCGCGTAAATCGGAATTTACTGTATGCAATTAGAGTTGTCGTTTCTTGTAATTATAAATGTAATATAAGTGATCGTGTTCATCCTTTTCGTTTATTACAAATAACTAAATTGTAAGAACGTTTGAACAATTGACAGTCTGACTAATGTAATTTGCTCTGTCAATTTTTTTGCTGTGCCCTTGTCGGGGCAAAGCTTGCAAACAAATAATTACGTCAATTAATTTTGGGTTATTTTCACAAGTAGATTATACAATACAGTATTGTATCAATACAAAAAGACACCCTCGATCACAGACCCCTCTGTCTATCTCAACCGCTTTTACGATTATAATTTATAGAACGTTTTCCTCGATACCAGGAGCAAATGCACCATTTTCTCCCTCTTCGTACACCTATTTCATTACAATTTGTCATTTGTCCGTTTATTATGAATAAATATTCATAATAAATGAACGAAAACGATGTTATTTAAGTTGTTTTTAAGATTTAAAGTTACGAAAATAATTGTATCAGAACTTGGACTAAGTATAAGACAAATCATTATTATGAAACAGATAAGAGCACTCGAATGGAAGAACTAAATGATAATTAAATAATCGGTAGCGCCGATAAGTTTTGTTTTGCAAATTGCTTATAAACAATCCCCTGGTTTCAGCAATCGCTCGAGAGTTTTCACAATAAAGTTGTGATGACACTGATGATTTTGGAGGTACAAAAATTAAATGCGTGCACATTTAAATTACGAAAATTTTCGGAGAATTTGCTAGTGCTTTCTTTTTTCTTATTTTAAATAAAGGGGTCCTGGCACCCTTCATTTGTTTTGTGTCCTTGGTATTTAAGAACAGTTGCCTTGATATGCCATTGTTCTTAAATACATAACGACCTCCTGGACAATCGTTTCGAGCCTCTTTGAGAACGAATAACTCCTCTTAAGAAAGTAGAAATCGTTTCGAAACGAGATGAGGATTGAATTTGTTTTACTAAAACAATGTACGTACGCTATTGTCAAATCGACGCCATTTTGACATTTCTTCGTTACATAAAGGTGAAAATGACGACAAATTCACCCAAATGGCAATAATGCAATGTAATGTTAATGCTTTGTAAACAATCTTTTTTTTTTCAGACTTATAAATTCCGACTGTATTTTCTTAATTTCAAGAACGGTGATAGATAAATGAAACTGAAGACCGGGTATGGGAATCTTAGGAACAGGAGGGAGGATCGATTAACAATATACGAATTTCCGATTCAAGACGGAAGTCACGTTATTTAAATTCAAAAATTCCCCCCCCCCCGAAAACAGTTAGATGATCGGAACGACTCCATTGCTAACGGGAAAGTATGATGTACAGGGATAAGCCACTACTAATTTGAGGTGGAGAGCATATATTATAAATTAAATAAACTAAAAATATTATAAAAAATTGCAGCCCGGTAAAGTGTGTTGTTGCATACCTCAGGTAGGGACACTTCTCATTTCTTATCAGTTTACTTAATAGAGCTGCCAGAAATATTCTCCCCCTCTGTTTTGTATTGTTCTTCTAGAGGCACTAATTCCAGAATATCTTTTAGGAACTTAATGACTTCCGAGTTTATGAGAAATAAATTTAAAGATGATTTCAAGTTCTGAAAATCAAAAAATATATTCTTCGTTCACTGAAATACCCTGCAGAACCTCAAGTATTACGTTCTCAGTTTTTAATAGGAATCTGAGAGGTTTAGCGCATTTCTCCAAGCCTTTGTCCGCTAACTTAAAGCCTTATTCTTCTCTGCATTGAGTCCAAAATCTGAATTAGTTTCTTTGCTTTTAGGGTTTACAATGTATGTCCGAAGACCGCTCAAGTTTTATGTTTTCGTAACTAATAAAAATGGATCACGGCTAGTATTTTTAATTGTTTCCACCCCTTATGGCACACGGGGTGGAAACAGATAAAACATAAAAAAACAGGCATTGATTACCTGAAAACTTATTTGGAATAAACTTCAAAAAAATGTATTAAATAAGTTACGATGACGTAGCAGGAAGGTATTCGCTGGTTGGCCATCACAGCAAGAGTAAAATTTTTGTATTCGTTGGCGGTTGCGTCACGTGGTATGGGAAGAGGCTCGTGTAGTTAATAGTAACGGACGTAACATTCCTCTCGCCCCGTGAGCCGGAAGAAGCCGGGTGTGAGAGCAAAAGTGAGATGCAAACTCGTTAGAAATTCCCAAAAATGGCTTTTGAATCTGGAATTTCGTACGAAGGAAAGTTTTGGTAGAAGTCAGACAGCCATTGAAAGTGGAGGATATTTCCGTCCGTTGTTTTCCATTGGAATCGAGTCAGTGAGGAGCGTGGTAAAGGTGACATCAACAAATATGGGCTATCTACATTTAAATGCAATCGCCAGATAAAGGAAACGCGATAATATCGAAGCTCTGACTTCAAAATTACAATCAGATTGGATTTACGTTTACGTTTTCGGATCCGAACGATATTTTCATACTAAATCGAAGGTGGAGAGAACGATTTGAGCAAGACGACGTGAGACAGATCTCGAGAGAGCCGCTCTCGCTGCTGAAAAATTCGAACGGGAACAGGTGGGCAAACGGTTCGACCCACGAAAAAAGTCTAAGCCAATTAACGTAGAGATAAGAACCCGCTGGATCGGCGATAAAGATTCTAAAGCGTTTGTTGAGGAGATAAGAATTATCAGACCATTGTTAAGTAGAGATCGGAGTTACACAACTTGCTCGAACCATCGCCAGCAATCGGTTCCACCAATTACTCCCCTCTTTCTCTTTCTTATCGCCAAATTTTATCGCTTAAAAATTGACGTCGCCTGCCGAATCGTTCACAACTCGCAATTATTCTTTGGTGAAAACATGAAACTCGCTTTCCTCCTCTTGGCCGTTCTAGTTGCCGCCGTTGCCTCCCAGGTATGTGCCATGTTCTCGAGTGAGGATTTCGTTAACTCACGTTCGCCATTAATCTCTATTTTTAATGTTGCAGGATGTCGATCCTGAAAACGACATTTGGCAGCCCGAATACGACTACGGTAAGCCCACCCTCTTCTATTGGATTCCTAACTATTTATAAATTTCGCCTTGATATAACGGTAGTACCCCTAAATTTAATTCTTCACGTTAATTCTCGCCATTCGCTTTTTTCTAGGCCCGGAACATCCGGTCGTGGTGAAGGGCAAAAATTACATATACGATTACAAAAAATGGATTCCCACTAAGGCGGCCAAACATTCTAAATCTGGAACTACCAAAAAAGCGAAAGGTACCAGAAAGCCGCGAAAACCTTACGACTGGACCAAATGGATTCCGTCCCACGTCAAATCTTTCATTCCCTCGTCCAGCAAATCCTTCGACTGGAAGAGTTTCGTTCCAAAGGATCACCAGTCTTTCGTTCCTTCCTCCTTCGGATCCTTCGATTGGAAGAGCTTCGTTCCTTCGGATCATCAATCTTTCGTTCCTTCCGATCATCAATCCTTTGTTCCTTCGGATCAATCTTTCGTTCCTTCCTCCTACGATTGGAAGAGTCACATGCCTGACAACAAGAAGTCTTTCGATTGGAAGAGCTTCGTTCCTTCGGATCAACAGTCCTTCATTCCTTCGGATCACCAATCCTTCGTTCCTTCGGATCACCAATCCTTCGTTCCTTCGGATCACCAATCTTTCGTTCCTTCCGATCAGCAATCTTTCGTTCCTTCCTCCTACGATTGGAAGAGTCACGTGCCTGCCGACAAAAAGTCTTTCGATTGGCAGAGCTTCGTTCCCGAGGACCAAAAATCCTTTATCCCTTCGGATCACCAATCTTTCGTTCCTTCCGACCAGCAATCTTTCGTTCCTTCCGACCAGCAATCTTTCGTTCCTTCCGATCACCAGTCTTTCCTTCCCTCGGAATTTAAGGCTTTTGAATGGAAGAGCTTCATTCCTAAGGATCGCCAGTCTTTTATTCCGTCCGACCACAAGTCATTTATTCCTTCCGGCCAGAAGTCTTTCATTCCCAAAGAACAAAGGGCTTTCGATTGGAAGAGCTTCATTCCTAAGGATCGCCAGTCTTTTATTCCTTCCGACCACAAGTCTTTTATTCCTTCAGGCCAGAAGTCTTTCATTCCAAAAGAACAAAAGGCTTTCGATTGGAAGAGCTTCATTCCTAAGGATCGCCAGTCTTTTATTCCTTCCGATCACAAATCTTTTATTCCTTCCGGCCAGAAGTCATTCATTCCAAAAGAACAAAGGGCTTTCGATTGGAAGAGCTTTATTCCTTCCGACCACAAGTCATTTATCCCTTCCGGCCAGAAGTCTTTCATTCCCAAAGAACAAAGGGCTTTCGATTGGAAGAGCTTCGTTCCTAAGGATTACCAGTCTTTTATTCCTTCCGATAAGAAATCTTTCGATTGGAAGAGCTTCGTGCCCGAAAGTCACCAGAATTCCGACTGGCACAGTTTCGTTCCTTCCAGCTTTCGTTCTCACTTAGGAAGCGCATAAAGACCAAAGACAATACATATTTAAATTAAAGACTGATATTTTCGGCAAGAACGTTTAAATAATTCTCTACTCGTTTTTATATTTTAGTGTTTCGGAAGTTTCAAACAAATTAACTTTGTATTATACGTATTATAAAATAAAAAAAAATTTCCACAAATAAACTGTCCTGGTGTTAAAACAGACTTTTCTAATGCAGTTAAACCCGTGTAAAACAGAATCGCACGGTACCCGTTTTGAACAGGTTTTACTGTATTATTTTCTCAGTTGTTATATATAACAGAGGGAAAGTATGGCTAGCGTAAAAACCTTGGGGATCAAAAAATAACCCCCAAAGATTTAAAAATTCTTGGACTCCGGGACTTTGAAACATTCAGAAATGCAAAAATATCGGGTTTTTCTGTATATAAGGATATTAGTGTGTGTGGGGGGAGCACAATTTTGTTCGCCCACTTAGAAGTTTAATAACTCCTGTGCTTTCTGCCGAAAATTTCTGAAATTTTGCAGGGAGGTTTGTATATTAGTGGCATCGATGCTATTAAATTTTCATTGTTAAAGATCGAGGGGATGGGAAGATAGAGGTTTTTAAATACAATCTCATAACGGATGGCGCCACAAACAATTTTAAATTTTATTTGTATTTATTTTATTCAATAATCAGGCTTATCTGTAGCCTACGAAATAGACACAGGTCGGGAAGTAGTTCAATTTACCGCCACCAGGATGACTTTTCGACGCCATTTTTAAACTTACGCCAATCTCCTGTCCATGTGAAATTAGTAAACAGTTTTTCTGGAGTGAAAAAAAACCAAAGATAAATAAAGAGTACTTTTTTATTACCGATTTCCCGTTTATAATATAGTGAATTTTAACTTTAGAAATTATTTATTAAACAAATTTTCGATTTTCTTTTATTTAGAAAGGACATTGAATTAAATTTTATTTCCGATTATTCCTGTTGCCAAAGTGGAAACATTTCGTAATTTAAGCTGGAAGTCCTGTTTTACTTCACATTAATACCACGTTCCGGGGTTTTTGCAATCTCTTGAAACCTTGAAAGCAAAAAAAAAGGGGGGGAAATTCTATATGTGTGTGTCTATTTCGTTTAATATCTTAGGATTGGGATTAAGAAACGAAGTTTGGCATGGTAGTTTGTGTATAAGGGGCATTGATGCTATTAAATTTTGATGGTTAAAGGTCGAAGGGATGGGGAGATAGTGGATAACGTGGATCACGTGCCATATCTGGAGAGGTGTCATACTTAATAAAGACTTCACTCATTACAGTCGACCCCCTATAACACTGTTGATTATTCCGTTTTATATGAATTCCATGTCGTACGAGTCACTTAGATTTTACAAATACGTGTGCCGGGCTGTAAACGGCTCATGTATCTGTAAAATCTAAGTGACTCATACAACATGGAATTCATATAAAACTGAATTTTCAACAGTGTTATAGGGGGGTCGACTTGTATTACATTTACAATTATTTTTAAATTCATCTCTACTATCAAAATTAAGCTTTCAACTATTTTAAAATAATTAATAATATAAAAGTTATTTTTAAAACAACAGCCTACAGGCCCATTATGGGTTCGGCCAGGCCCACAATGGGGCTGCCGAGTGGTGAGGGACGGGGCCCGACATATCCGAACGGACCACCCCCGAAAAATTCCTGGGGATTTTTCGACCCGTTCGGATTCGAGCCCGGGTCCCCCAAAGCGGCAGGCTGCCACCTTGACCGCTTGGCCATCCGGCCACACAATTTATCAGCTTTAAGTGTGGTGGTGAGTGGTGACTAAACAATCCTACAGAAGAAATGTCATTACTTTTACATCTATGGCTTTATTTTCGTATTTATTCAGAGATATCGAAGACGTTTGTGATGCTGATTTCTCGAACAAAATATCATACTTAACAGACTTTTCGAAAAGGAAGAATGGCGGCCTTTATTGTACAACATGTTTGGTGGAAGTATGGACATATCTTTCGAAGCAATGGTCCGATTTTCCTGAAAATTTCTAAAAATATTTTACCCTAATACTCAAATCTACCTGTCAAATTTCAGAAAATTTCCACAAAAGGCACAGGAACTATAGAGCTTCAAAGTGGGTGAAAAAATCGTGCTCACAACACATATACAGAAAAATTCCCAATTTTTTTGGCATTTCCCGAAGTTTCAAGGTCCCGAATCCAAACACGTAAAAACTGTTGTGGCCAATTTTTGTTTTATATAACAGTTAGGCCCTTTATTTTCATGTCTGTTTTAGCCTAGAGGACTAATGAGTTAAAATGTAAAAAAGGGCAACGACTAGATTATCGATTCAATTCGGATGCCCTGAAAGGCCAAAGATAAATTAGTCAGAGTGGGCAACCTTTTTTGATGTGCGAGCAAATCCTAGACAAAATTTTCTTACATGATAAGCGAAATTTTTAGGAGCCCTTTCCGTCTGGCTGCCTGGTGAATGGTACAACTGAGCGGGATAAAACTTCTAAATAAGTACTGTTTAACGCATAGATAGATGGAAAAAAGTCGTTAGCGTGCCACGTTTGTCACGCGTACCAAGGATTGACCACCTCTAGTTTAAGTTCTTGACGCTTTCGCAGTCCAAACTACGAATTTCTCTAAATACGAAGTGTTTCTGGTTGACACTAGCCTTATTTTTCCTACCGACGCGTGTTTGTTTAAGTGGGAAGGACACCTGATTCTACCTTCAAGAAGATTTCCGGGTCTGCCATGATTCAAACCCGGTCTCGTGGAGTGACTGACTAATGCCTTTACCGAGTCAGTTAAAAAAATATGAAGACCGAAAATGTGTTCGAAAAATGCGACGCTTTATTTAATCTCTCAAGAAATATAGCTTCGGAATTATGTACAATTGTCTTGGGGAAAGGAACCTTGGCAGAGAGTCCTTCCAGTTTAGGAGACAGAAGGGCGGTGGGAGAATGAAAACGGCAGAAAGGAAGAAAAAGAAGAGCTTCAAGAGATGATCAGTTTTCCTTCAGAGTACCCATATTTGTCTTTGTACTCGTCGAACAGTTGCTGCAGACTCTCGATGTAATCCTGATGCAACTTCTGGATCTGTTCGTCGGTCGGATTCTCTGTCTTCTCCACTTCGATAGGCTTTCCCACTGAAACGACAAAGAAAAAAACCAATCAGATTCTCACACTTCGTCCATTACTATTCTTACGACGGTCCGTTATCGATGACACTGTCTTATTCGGCTCCTAAGAAACGCCTATAACAGAAATTTCGTCCGGAAACCAGGCCGTTGGGAGGACAATCTGGGGAATTTTTCTTAAACTCGGAAAATTCTTAGGGTGTGTAGTGGTTCCTACTCCTATAAAATTAATGTTGTTTTTACTAATAAAAAAATCTTTAAAAGACTGATATTAATAAAGGAATATTCTCTATGTATTTCATTAGTTCAAAAAAAGGCAAAAGGGATCCTCTTATTCCGGGCCCATACCAAGCTCACAGCCCTACCGGAGACCGCCGATCGGATTCAGATTTTGTGGTTCACCTGACCCATAGACACGACGATTGAGGGCAGATAACACCTTAACATACGAAGAAAGCTTTAGTCCAGAGATGTTACTTTCACTATGTAGAACGGCCCGGTTCCCCTTGCTCCACCATTGGAGCGTGCGTTTCAAAATGGAAGGTAAATACTCACCGACTGTGACGATTTCCTTTCTGAAAGGCATGTAGCCCATATTGTATTGGAATACGCCTCTTCCATAAAATAGGGGTGGCGAAAATCCCAGGATCTTGGTCAGGCTGTTCTGCATCTTCCTGAGGAAGGATCCATCCGGGTTTTCCAATTGTTTGAAGATGTCGTTTTCTCCGAACGAAAAAGAAGGAACCAGCGAAGCCCTGTCATTAAATTGTAGAAGTTTGAGTAAATCTATTTTCTAAGTAGTATTTTCTAAAGTTGAATATTCGTTCAACCCTGGGTCTTTCTCCGGTGGAACGTATTTGCCACCAAACGTTCGCAGTCACACCTCGTTGCCAGAAACTTGTGAGTAAGCCTTAAAACGAATACTTTTTACCGTGGCAGTCGGGTATTTCCGATCCGACAGACTTAATGTTGTAGGTCGATATAGAGAGAAACCGACAGATGGGATTAGCCAATAACGGGTGCGGATAAGAGTAGAAAAAAAAAAGAAACTCACCCGTATCTTAGAGCCATCTTGACGAATCCTTTTCTTCGTCGCAAAGTCAAGGTGACGGTTCCCGGGTGAGCGTCCAGAGCTTCGGCTGCCCCTCCGATGACCAGTACCAAGGCCCGTCCTTTTCCTTTTTTGGTGAGAAGCCATTCGATGCCCTCTTTGGTGGCCGCGCACGTACCTTTTAAAATAACACAACATTACTTACGTCGTCTCTAAACGCTGCCCACACTAATGCCTTCAATTGCTATCAATCTGAGAAATTATACGTGGTTTTGCTCCCGTACAGTGGGGATTTTAATTGTATTTTTATCTCGTGTATAATTAGTTGCAGAATAACCTGGATGCGTATTAAAAAACTCGAATAGTATCCACATCCCTGTACGAAGTTTTTGTCCTTAACATCAAAATGCGCTCAAATCGTCTTTTAAGGAGAATCAAAAGTACAGTAAAACCTGTGTAAACCGGACTCTCGCGGTACCGAATATTTTATCCGATTTGGCAGGGGGTTTTTTTTACACAGAAAATCACTGCGTTTCGAATAATTCTTCCCGTTTAGGTAGGTTTCCGTGTTATTAAGGTTCCGTTTTGGACAGGTTTTACTGTATAGTAACCTCTACATCTGGTGGTAAAACCTCCAACGCGCTCCTCATTCATAGTTACCGTTTTGGACGTTCTTACCTTCAGATTTAGAGGTAAGTTTGGAAGACATTGGATTGTTAATAGAAAATGGCGTCGGTTACACTGGGTAATAAAATGAAAGCTATGTTTGGCGTTTGGAGAATCTCTCTTGAGTGTCCAACAGCAATCAGCAAGCATTCTTGAATTCCACTGGCCCTGATACCTCTTTTCCACGATAGAGATATCCCAGTGTTCGTCACTGACAGCACCAAGATTGTCTGGGAAGAAATCCAAGATATGCATTTTGAGGGACATATTACATCCCATATCTTCGTAAGAGCCCATTCACAATTTCGTAGTAATTTGGAACTACAAAGCTCAAATGTCGAGGACAGCCTTTTGCCCACTCTGTCAGACATTTTACACAAGTTGAACATATGATATGTGGTGCAGAATTCTTATCCTGATCGCCCACTTTACAATCAAAATATAGTTCATAACATTTTTTAACAAGCACTCACATAGAGCTATAAATCACAAGACAAACGGAATTCATCTTCACTCAATGCAAATACCACAAATTCTGTGCAGTAGTGTCATGAGTCATGTGTGATTCATTAGTCTGCTATCTGGGTAACAAGTTGGTAAAACAAACATGTTAAACGGATCCCACCTTTGTCCCTTCCCCCCCTGCAAGAGGTGCAGGAAAGTTTCTGTGACGGCCAGACACGGAGCCAAAATTTAAGTCTATGATTACGGAAAATCAGAGGGTGATAGAAAAATTTCAATCCCATATTTGAAATTAGTACAAATAGTTCTATTAGACACAATTTCTCTCTTCTGTGTGCCAAAAATCATGTCGACCAGTGTTATCTACACACCTAGAGGCTTTTACTTTCCTACGTTTTGTAGAATACAGTAAAACCTGCCTAAAACGGAACCTGAATAATACGGAACGTAAGGTAAAAGATTAAACTCTGACCCTTCCATCCCGGGTTTTTTACATTTATTGGCATTTTCACACTCCACGAGCCCATGAAAAACTTACAAAATGTGTGTACTGTCTGTCTATTTTGCATTATATCTCAGGACTGGACGAACGAAAAACTTGGCAGGGTTATCTTCAATATGTGGGGCATAGGTTTTATTAACTTTCGGATATTATAAATCGAGGAGAGGTGAAATAAAGAGGGGTCGTATGTCATATCTTGAGTGGAGTCAAACTTAAAAATTTGTAGATAAATTATTTATAGAAAAGGAATGATAAGACTCTTATATAATCTTGTGTGCTATTGAATAACTTGATTAGGGTGTTACGAAACGTTAGTAAATAAAATAGTCATAAATAGAATTGGTGAAAATAACATCTAAACACTTGAAAGCAGACATATATCCAATTGATCAAATTTGGCAAATACTCCCATAATATTGCTTTAAATTTACTAGTAATTAATAGAGTACCAAGGTGTGAATGGGGTTTGACTATGGGGAAGAATTTCTAACGGGAGAGAAAGCTAGAAAGGTAAGGCCCACCAGTAGCACGAACACCACCAAATACTAGAAGTTGATGAGTTTGCGCCTGACCATGTGGAGTTTTCTGGGTTTTCTTCACGTTTGATACCTAAATAGGAACCAGGAGGATTTCTCATAGAAAGTCCTCCGAGGTGTCATCCCCCTTAGCACATCACCTAGGTGTTGCGTTACCTTTATCTTAGAAGGGCGTGCCCAAATTAATAACTTAATTAAAGAAGATTGCGCACCGATTGTCTTTAAAATGTGTTCCTCCCAGTGTTTGCCGGAAGATAAAAAAAAAGGTTCTTCCGATCTAAATAGATTGGACCATTACAAAAAGTTAATCGAATGATGGATTAATTCTCAGAAAACGACGGATTGGGGCCATTTCCGATGTGACGACTTCCTTTTCCTCCAGCGAATCTACGAGTCGGGATGACTGTCAAAAATATGGCGGTCGCGCGCGCGTAAACTCGAAAAAAAAAGTCGTGAGTTACTTACCCGTGGCCAAGATGAGTTCCCGATGGAACGGGAACCAAAACTGTCCTTCGAGAGTCAATAAGTGAGGCTTCATTCCGGGAAAGACACGTGAAAAATCGTTAGCTTCGGTGGCGAAGTTGCAGAAGGCTCCGGCGCAGACGATACCATGAGGGTGGTAGCCCACGATGTAGTTCTTTTCGGGGCTCAGTTCGGCCGTCTTTACCAGTTTGATGGGAAAGTAGCTCTTGAAATACTTCCAGACGGTCCAGTTGCGCACCCAGTCGAATTTCCTCCCCCCTCGGTTGCAGATGTCTCTGTCGTAGAGGACCCAAGCGGCGTACAATAGTGGCACAAAGTGAAATTGGGTGAAGAAAAAAAGGTACAGACACAACAGGATGCCGCCCACTCCCACGAAAAAGAAGCTGGTACAATAATAGAGGACGGCCGCCGTCTGTAACCGGCGTTCTATGGGAATAAGAAAGGGGGCGAACTCGATCCCCAGGATTTTCATTTTGCTCGAGCTAGAAAGAAAACAGAAAAGTCGCGTCAGACCGATTCGCGTAGACAGGAGACGGCGAAAGCGCCGCCGCGCAGCGTCATCGACCTCTACCTACTTAAGTTATATACAGAAAAAGTTTACGTCGCTTCGCGTAGTTACGTGTATTACCGTACGTCCACTCGTTCGAAAAACCGAACTTTCGGAAGGCGCTGCCCTCCCGAAGCGGAAGTAGACGTTTCGTCATTATCGGAGAGCGGAAGCGCCGCCCAGCGCCTTCGCCCGTCGCTTACCTACACCGCCAGCCGAATCTTCATTCTTCCTCCAGACGAACAGTTGTTTCTTTCGATCGGCGGTGGAGAACTTTAATCCCATGAACGAATGTCGTTTCGTCCAGATAACGATAATGAAGATCCGCCTCCCCCTTATCGCTCAGTTAGTCGTTTATCGCAATAAACACGCCTCGCGCTTCGAAGGTACTCGGCGCGCCGCTCGACGCCGCGATAAGAACGATAAAAGGGAGCAAATCTTTTTTCGTCTGTACAATTTTTTGAGTCTTTTACGTTAAACGAACGGCGGCAACAAGAATTACGCTTATTTGTTAGCGGTTCATAAATAGTCGAGCTTTCAGAAACGGAAGCGCTCTCCGGGATCCAATATGGCGACGGAAACCAGATTCGATCCAGAAATACGTTTATTTTCCTGAAAAATGTACAAAATTAGAGGGTCATTCTCCTGCCAACTCGTGCAGTTGATCGGCCAGATTCAGAGCCTCCTCCCAACCCTCGCAGGATCTTAGCAAATTCTGTGGTAGACACTCTATACCGTAGAAAGCACCGGCCAGGGCGCCCGCCATGCTGGCAATGGTGTCGGTGTCCCCTCCCAAAGAAACGGCATAAAACAGAGTCCTCTCCGCCCCGTTATCGGTGGGCCACTCTTTCAGGGGTCGAAATCCCCTGAGGAAACAGTACAGAGCGGTGGGCACCGATTCGGCCGCCGAAAGTCCGTGTCCTAATCGCGACACTACTTCTTCCGTCGACGGGGGGTTCGCTCGGCCCGACAGTTCCTCCACCATCTTCAGTTTGGCGTCCAGTGCACCCGTAGAATCGACCGGGCACAGGAGATCCGCCACCCAGCGGGCCGGGTCGGGCCGTTCTAGAAAGAGGGCGGCCCGACTCAGGGCTAGACTCTGAAGAACCGCTCCTCCGCATCCCACTGGATGGGCGTGGGTCAGTCGAGCGCACTCTTCGGCCTTTTCGGCAAGAGTCCGAGGTCGACGGTGAAGCCACAGTGCCAAGGGTGCTGTCCTCATGGCCGCTCCGTTCCCGTACGAGCCTCTTCCTTCAAATTGTTCTCGAGCCGGGCCGAAGACGTCACGATAATCGTCGTCCTTCAGCTTCCCGAAGACTTTAACCACGTTGGAGCCGTAACCCCGATTGGGATCCCGGAAGTATTCTTCCGTAAACTTCCGGGCTGCGTCAACGGCTTGGAAACCTTCACTGTCGAGCAGAGAGCGTGCCAGAGCCCACGTGCAGGCGGTGTCGTCGGTGTAAGGAAGAGGTTTCCTACCCGGTTCCTTTTCCGACCACTTACGGAACTCGTCGGTCAATTTAGAGGTCGATACCCTCTGCATTCCTTCGAAGGGAGCGCCCAGACAGTCTCCCAACAGGGCTCCGGCCAGGCAACCTCGAAATTTTCCTAAAGAGACGGACACGCGACCACCACTGCCGGCCGCCATCTTGCTTCGGTTCGATCGCCACTTCCTCTTCCGTCGTCGCCATCTATCGGCACGGGAAATAATTACGTAAAAATGGAAATATTACAGAAGAGAATTATCTCCTCCGAGACGATAAAAATAAACGTCAAACTTAAAATACGATAATAATTTACTGTCGTCCTAACGGAAAGAGTTTCGTTTCCCGTTTTTAAAAGTGAGATAACGACGTTCGACGGCGTAACGTGATTGGTTAGTTTAAATCAATGCGATATAATATCTCATAATTATCACTTTGTTTTAAAATGTTTAAAGCTTACTCCAAATAAAACTTTTGATCTCGAGATGGCAATTCTCTCAGCAGCCTTATGGCCGCTTTCACGAGATCTGGATGTTTGCCCGGACGAGTAAAATCCACAATGAATGTCAGTCTGCTGAGTAGTTAAGGGTATTGCGAGGCATGAGACTTTTCACATCACATGTGTCCGCGTGGTATGAAAAGTATCATGACTTGCAACTGGAGAAAATGCGTGTATAAATCCTATATTCGGTCACGGATAAAAAAAAAAGTCAGTTCGTTGCGTTGAGAGACTTGAGATCGAATCTTCAGTGGAGAACCTAGGGAGTGAGTGGGCCAAAGAGTCCTGGCACCCCCAAAGCAAAAGGAAGAGAAACATTAGTAAATTTTCCAAAAATATTTTCCTAATTAAATTCATATTTTTATTTATAATATGTCGTGTTTTCTATTTCTATGTTACTTATGAATTAGAGGGTTTTTAAAAAATTTTTCCGCCCAGTGGACGCTAAGAGTGCCTCTTTTATCTTTTAGCAAGCTCGTTATGGGTTCAGTTAGGCCCACAATGGGGCGGCCGGTTGGTGAGGGATGGGCCCGACATATCCGGACGGAGGGATCATTCCTGAGGATTTTTTGACCCGTCCGGATTCGATTCCGGGTTTCCCAAAGCGGTAGGTTGCCATGTTGACCGCTCGGCCATCCGGCCCATGTAAATTAGCGGTCGCATACGGGGAGAATTTTATTGAGTTCGCATTAAAACTTTTTATAACGTTTAATTCGGCTTCCTCCGTGATTAAATCTTGAGTGCGCAACTGAGAATCTAGGCGGTTGAACCTAGGAATTTTTTCGTAAATGCCGAAATTTCAATTAGTTTTGAAAAATTTTTCGGAAGTGAAAAGAACGGAAGGTATCACATGAAGAGGAAAAATATATATAAGAATTGAACCTTTACATAATAGAAGAAGTAATTAGTAGGCCCTATAAGATAGTAATGTCTTTAAGAAGCAAGATCATTTTTCAGAAGGATAAGCTGTGGTACAGTACCTAACGAATCGCCTAAAATTTTATTATTATTAGACTATTATTATCCGATTTTTTTAATTGGGCGCCATTTTAATATTTTAGATTCCTGGAAGTGTGTACATTCTCGAAAGTATATTCTCTAAGTCGATGATGCTCTAAGTGAGGGCACGGAAACGCGCGTGGGCGCAGAATTTCTTCCATTTTCAATACAGAATACACGTACAGCACCTATTACATTACTTTATTATATATATATAAAGAAGTAATGTAATAGGTGCTGTACGTGTATTCTCATTTGGACTGTTTAATTAATAAAAATTAGTATCGGTTCACGACAGTATTCTGACTGGAGATGCATGGCCATGAGACACGTGGGCGATCTGCCAAAGAGGGGGATAAATCTCGGAAGAACCTTATATGAGAAACTGGCCCTTAATTAGATGTTATAAACGTGAAGAAAACCCGGAAAAGGTGCGAACCCACGACCAGTGTTCAATGGTTTTATCTACTTCGGCACTGATGGGCCTCCCATTAACAATACACAAACTTCCGACAAAACCACGCATTTATTTTCTTTGCAAATGGCTGTCTAAGAATCGAAACATGTAAACAAAACTTTAATTCTAGATATAAAACTGATTACGTACCTTAAGACTGGTTGTAGCCCTGAAGTTATAATCGTAGTAAACAACACACATCGTAAAATACTCTTAGAAAACGCATAATTTACGAACGCCTTCGGGCCATCACAGTTTGTATAAATTCTGGGAAAAAAACTAATAATTGCAGCAATTGGAGATGAAATTCCAAACAATAGAACTTTCGATTTTTCGGCCTGTCATTATGATGAATTGATTCAAACAGTGGAGCAATAGAAACTCGACGAAAATAGTACAGATAGAACTGTTTGTTTGTTAAGTTATGGTAACGTGACACGTGGGTGATCTGACTAGGGGAGATGCCTTCCGAGAGATCTTTTTAAGGGAAACTGGTCCCTATTTAGGCGTTACAGACGTGAAGAAAACCCGGAAAACTCCACGTGACCAGCCAGTCCGAGCGAGGCGCGAACCCCCAGTGTTTAGGGTAAGAAGACCGCTTGGCCACTGGTGGGCTCTCGCTTTTCCTAATGAGAAGTTGGCACCTCTAATTGTAATTCGAATTGTTTTCATTCCGACTACTTTACAGAGGTTTTTTTGCGTCTTTCTGTTGTATGAATAAAAAGAAGAAAAATAATAATAGCTTTTGTAAAATTCTACGTTCATTATCACAATACTACACTTTAAAAATGCAAAATATTTATTTATAAATTTATTAAATATATTATAGATTAGTTTTTCGAATTCAAACAGGATTGCGGTACGTTAAATCGAACTGGTGGTATGACGTCATCTCCCGCAGTAACGTCATAGGATCGGGCCCGCCCCGTTCCGGAGACTGGACCTATGTCGTTTTTAGGACGCCCTCTTTCGGTAGCTAGCCGGTCTCGATAAAAGAGGCGCAGAGTATCCGCAGCGTCGTGCGACGAACTCCCCGACGGAGCCACCGCACCGAAAAATCGATTCATCGATCTCTGTCCGGCCAGACGATCGGCCGACGGTACGTCTTCCGTCTCCGGACGGGGGTCGACCGGAAGTACTGAGTCGGGGGTACGGTCTGAACGAGGAAATAAGGCGGAGTCGTTCGTATTTCCGGTTCGAATAGACAGAGATCCATTCCAAGGGTCGTCGGCCGGAAAAAGAAACCGCTACCGCTTCGGAGACTGCGCCGATCGTTGGAAGACGCCCGAAACGGCCGAAGAGTGGCGCTTCGAGTAGACGCATCTAAAGACGGGAGAGAATCCCCTGTCCCTCCGAAAACGGAGGTAAGTATCTCCCCGTTTCTTGGGAGCGGTCGTTCCCTTTCCGGAAGATTTCTCTTCCTTCGGGATGTTCCTTTTTAATCCAAACTAAACGTTCTTTCTTTCGAGCGCGTAATTCCGACACAGAGAGAAGAATTAATTATTTAGAGAAAAAGACGGACGGCAATTGGAACAAGAAGCGGCTGACGATCGATCGTCGTACTTTCAGATGCGGCTCAAAGCTCTCTTTCTGCTTTTCTTCTGCCTCTTGGCGGGAACCGTCCGCTGCCGGGTAGCAGAAGAAGACCCTTCCTGGACCGGAAAACGCGAAAAAGAGGACGGAAAAGATCACCGGCGGACGGCCTTTCCAGAAGTTTTTCGGTTTCGTCGAACGGAACGTCACAGAGGACGAACGTCGACATTAAGGGAACCCGAAAGAATTCCTTCCTCCTCCTTCGTTCGGACTAAGAGGCAGACGGGTGAGTTCTTCTTCCTCCTCCTCCTCCTCATGTTGACCGCTCGGCCATCCGGCCCATGTAAATTAGCGGTCGCATACGGGGAGAATTTTATTGAGTTCGCATTAAAACTTTTTATAACGTTTAATTCGGCTTCCTCCGTGATTAAATCTTGAGTGCGCAACTGAGAATCTAGGCGGTTGAACCTAGGAATTTTTTCGTAAATGCCGAAATTTCAATTAGTTTTGAAAAATTTTTCGGAAGTGAAAAGAACGGAAGGTATCACATGAAGAGGAAAAATATATATAAGAATTGAACCTTTACATAATAGAAGAAGTAATTAGTAGGCCCTATAAGATAGTAATGTCTTTAAGAAGCAAGATCATTTTTCAGAAGGATAAGCTGTGGTACAGTACCTAACGAATCGCCTAAAATTTTATTATTATTAGACTATTATTATCCGATTTTTTTAATTGGGCGCCATTTTAATATTTTAGATTCCTGGAAGTGTGTACATTCTCGAAAGTATATTCTCTAAGTCGATGATGCTCTAAGTGAGGGCACGGAAACGCGCGTGGGCGCAGAATTTCTTCCATTTTCAATACAGAATACACGTACAGCACCTATTACATTACTTTATTATATATATATATATAATGAAGTAATAGGTGCTGTACGTGTATTCTCATTTGGACTGTTTAATTAATAAAAATTAGTATCGGTTCACGACAGTATTCTGACTGGAGATGCATGGCCATGAGACACGTGGGCGATCTGCCAAAGAGGGGGATAAATCTCGGAAGAACCTTATATGGGAAACTGGCCCTTAATTAGATGTTATAAACGTGAAGAAAACCCGGAAAAGGTGCGAACCCACGACCAGTGTTCAATGGTTTTATCTACTTCGGCACTGATGGGCCTCCCATTAACAATACACAAACTTCCGACAAAACCACGCATTTATTTTCTTTGCAAATGGCTNGGAATTTTTTTGTTCAATAATAAATGTGAATTCTTCTTGCCATGACTTCGAGTAGAGAATACGTTGCACAATCTTGAAGCCATTGTCTCAAGAGTGTGTGACGTATCGGATGAAGAATACGGAAAGAGTTTTGGAACGGAAGATAAATTGGAACGTAACAATCAACCTCCAACCTTTCTTCAAGGCGAAACGAGTCGATCGGAAGAGAATGGACGGGAGGAGAAAGAAGAGGCGATTTTTAAGGACAGAGAAGACTACGACAGCTTCTTCCGCAACGAGTATTACCGCATTCTGGCCCAGTCCTTCGCCAGCAGCAGAAGAAAGAGAGAAGCGGAATTGTTGTCCTCCAGGCAGGACCTAGACGACGACTACAGTTCGGAACAGCGGAACCGGAAGCGTGAGTCCTTTAAAATTGTATTCGATATAGAAACGACAATTGAGGGATCACTCGTAATGCCGTGTTATTTTATGGATAAAAGGGTCAATTGCCTGTTGGTGGGGCCCTAAAACCATCTTTTATAAGAAAATATTTCCCTAAAACATTCCTCAGAAGAAAAATCACTGTACATGGGTACCCTAATTCAAATTTTCCTGGTTTTTATGAATCTATTAATGTGCCATTGATTACTCGCTTGAATCGTTTCTTATTCGACAGCAAGCGTACATTAGTAATAGAGAGCAGGCCCTACAGAAGGTGAGGGAAGCTAATGAATTTTTCTTGTTTCCGGAGTAAATTTAAGGGCCCGCAGTGGTTCCTATTCCTATAAAACTAGTGCTATTTTTACTAACAAAAAGTAAACTCTTTAAGGCCGATTTTCATTAATAAAGAAACATTCTATGCATTTCATTTGTTTAAAAGATTAAAAGATCCCGTCAACAGGCAAACGGGGCCCGCTCTATTCGGGCGCCCCAAATAGGCTCTCGACGGTTCCGATAGAAGGAGTCTAATGGTTTTGTAGTGAAGCCAATGGCTACCATATTGGTAATCCTAAAGTAGAATGATCTCGAGTTACTTATCCTACTTTTACTGCAAATTAATATATTAAACATAATATATCTCGAACTCGAATAAACGACCTTTACGATTTCCAATATGGCGTCGACTGACTTCAACTTGTTCGTTGCACAGACAGTAAATCTCTATGTATTACTGTTCTGTGCTCTCTGTTCTTCAATCGATTCCAAACTTGATTCTTAATTTACGTAATGCCATGTCTTAAAATTTAAATTCTATGCATTTTCAGTGACGATGATAAATGTTGTATGTATATATAGTAATTTTGTAAAAATACAGCGACTCATCATTTAACGTCATTTCGTATAACGTCATTAATAGGGCCTTTTGTAGCAAGCGCATTATGGGTTCGGTATGAAGAATGGAGCCTGACTTATCCATACGGACTACCCAAGAAAAAATTTTGGGGCTGTTTGGCCCGTCCGGGATTTCAGCTCATTTCAGTAGTTACGTTTATTTCACAAATCACGTGTACAACATATTTCAGATCATATTTAGAACATAAAAAAGTGATTTTTTTTCACTCTCCACTCTCTGGACATCTTATCAACCTCATCGTGGGTTCGACCAGATGGTGAGAGACGGACCATACTCGAAAATTTTATGGGGTTGAAAAGGAGCTTGTATTTGGCTAAACTATGGCGGATTTTGATCACGTGCCAACAACAGCAAATAGAGTGTAATCACGCAGTTAGCCTCTCTGTATGTGGGTTCTATTGGCTATATCACGTAGTATCTCGTAGTGTTTGATAATAGATAGAAATAATCACACCAATACAAAAAAAAAATTAAATAAGAGGTTGCCATTAGCTTAAAAGTTCGAATAACTTGTCAGCATCATTCTTTTCATCGAAACAATTTGGGAAGAAAAAGAAAGCTACAGGGAATCCTCGCTAATTCGAACTCGGATAGTTCGAAATCTCGTTAGTTCGTTAGTGCTTTTACAGTAACACTTTTTCGGGTTTCTTCTTATCTCATAAAATATGTCTGGGTTTTGGAATTGCAAGATTGGGCTACGAGTAGCAGATTGAGATATATGTAGGGCTCTAGACTACTACCTTGTAAGCCACTTTTAAAATAATTTGGGCTACATTTCGAGAATTCTACTTTACTTTTTATAAAATCTATCTGACGACCTGTGAGGTTCTCACCGACATGTGGTGTTTACCTGCAGTTTATTTATATTGTTATTGCTATTATTTATTATCTTCCAGTATTTCTGCAGTATTTTTAATCATGTAGATCAGCGCTGTCCAACTTACCATAGCCCGCGGGCCATATTTCCTTTACCAAACATTTCGGGGGCCAAGAAGGTTGATAAACAACATGACATTTGCATAGTGCTACGGTTCAGTAAGCACTAATTGGTCAGCGAGTCCGATGTTGACGCTATAAAAAGGTGACAGTTCGACACACCGGATATACGTCACTCTCGTCTAAGTTCGACTTGGGAATTTTTTTGTTCAATAATAAATGTGAATTCTTCTTCCTGGAAAAAATAAGACATTCCCTGAAAATAAGACCTAGCGCATTTTTCAGAGCAAAAATTAATATAAGACACTGTCTTATTTTCGGGGAAACACGGTAGTAAAATAATTTTAACATTAATAATAATAATTTAGTAACATAAATTTATTCATAGCAAAATGTACTCGCGGGCCGTAAAAATTATTTGGCGGGCCGTATACGGCCCGCGGGCCGCCAGTTGGACAGCGCTGATGTAGATAAAAAGTTATATTTATTATTTTAAGGGACTATATTCTATTTCCGAGAGTGATATTTTGTTAAAAATACTAATTTTTTCGGTCTTACTGGAGAAATATTCAATTGTGCAGCTTATATATATTGCTGCAGAAGGTTTTATGGAATAGAGTATCGGGAGAATATAAGGCAATACAACATGTGGGTGTAAGATGGCCGATCCGGGAGAGATAGGGGGCTTGAAACCCATTTCACGGCACCTGTGTAAGGTGGCCGTCTCCTAGGTGGGATCTATTAATCCCGCGTCAGGATGGACCTAAGGGAAGGTTGTATGTGGGCGGTGACGGAGGAGGCAAATGACGACAAGTGTTTTACACAAGAAAGCCGTTTATTTGTTAACATATATGCTTACATCGGCAATCGACAGTCCTTCACTAGATTCTTCCCTCGAAGATGCGGAGTGTGAGAACTTCGGCGTCGGTCGTAGCCCCGGGGCGGACGAGATGCTGTCGTTGATCAAGGCGGACGATCGGAAGATAGAAGCGGCGGAGTCCACAGTTTTTTTGAGACGACACACCACAATAGAAGTCACTACCTTTCGTGGAGTCGGAGGAGAGCCCTCTTGACCTTGATTTTCCGATTTTTATAGTTTTTCCTCCCACTATTCGGACTTCTGATTGGCCCCTCGTCCCCTTCCTCGCTTCCCGGTTGGTCTCTCTTTTGTTTTGGGGAAAATCGAGACCGATTCGGGTCACGAGAAAGGTCCGATTCCAGGTGTCCGCTCGACGCCTTTCTGTCGATTGTTCTCGGGGATTGTTGACAAAATTGCAAGACTCGCGCTCATAATTTAACTCCGTTACTCGCGATTTCTGTCATCTGGGTACTCGAACGATCATATGCAATGATTTATCTCTCTTAAATCTTTCCGTCTTTTCAGAAATTGTTTCCCTAGATTGACTGTTTATGAGAGCGGGGGTCAAAGTTCTACCTGCATATGACCACTTGTCTCTGAATTATAACTTTTCATTCTGACATTGACAGTTAGTTTAACACGTGTTCGAGTCATCCGAGACTCGTTGTCTACATTTTGTGCCGCGTTGTTTAAATTATGGGATTTTCCTTTCCCTCTCATAATTAATCTATCGTTATTATTTAATCATAGGAATATCGCGATTTACATGATTCGGACCTCGGTTGGGTCTTCACATGGGCAATCTGCCAAGGAAAGTGCAACTCAGAGAAACTTTCTGTGGAAAACTGGCCTGTATTTAGGTGTTAAACACGTGAAGAAAACCCGGAAAACTTCCACTTGGCCAGCTCGTTAGTGAGGCGCGAACTGGCGACCATCAGTGTTCAGTAATTTTATCTGCTCGGCCGCTGGTGAGCGAGTTCCATAGATATTACGTGTCCATATTCAGGCAATTTTGGGCAATTTAGCAATTCTGTAAAAATAATTTTAAATCGTTTTGTAATTTTGGGGAATTTGAATATAAGAAACTTTCACGGAACAATAAAGCACCGAATGTGCCATAGTGGCGAGTTTTGGTACTCGTTTTTAATAAGCAAATGTCCGCGTGCACTGAAATGCCGCCATACCAAATTTGGTTTAAACTATATAACGCGTGGAAAAGGAATACAGTGGAGATCGATTATCCGAATATCGATCAACCGAAACATCGGTTAACCGAAAGAGATCCAGTCGGAAATTTCAAATTTCCGCTAGTTCTGTGGCGCTGCAATATTTGGCTATGTCTTGGGCTACTCCAGCACCGGCGAGACCATATTGTATTGTTAAAAATTATTTCTTTATTTTGCACAAACAAAATAAATATATTGAAAAATATAAAAACAAAAATAATTATATTTCGTAAGTTAATCTAGTAGAAATAAGTTTCAACGATACAATAGCCACGATTATTATTTTTTTAAAAAAATTTCGTTAGGCTTAACATCGACGAAAATTTAACGCGAAGCGACACTCAACGGAGAAAAATTTCAACATGGGATAGATTAATATATTTTTTCACACGTGGTCAGTTTTCCTAATAACACCAGTCCCGAATTGCTTCGAATAATCGATGCTCTACTGTACTTTAATTATAATTTCCCATTATTAACGAGGCGAAGTGAAAATAGGAAAGTGATAGGGCAATACTTTCGTTATTTTTAAACTTACTCATCAAGTGAATTAATTAAAAGATGTGTGAGGTGTCTTCGCAGACGCTTTTAGATTCAGTAGGGAATTCCGTACGCTATACACGAGATTTCTATCGTGTATTTTTTGAAATTTTAAACTTTTGAAACATTCTATTATATTACTTTTTAATGAACCAAAATTAAAGAGAAATCAGTGCAATTCCATATAAAAATATTTTGTGTACTCTGAAGTATGCACAGAGAGATATTTGCAAGGTTGAGACCGACGTTCACACCTTGCTATTATAAAGTAGATTTCCAATGGAAGAACGTAGGAGAGAAAAACCTGAAAGTTCCATTTGTTTTAGTTTTCTTCATGACCGTTATCATGGATTTGGGCGCTAACGTCTCGTAGCTACTTTTTATCGAAATTATAAGAGAAGGAATTTGGAATATTGAATAAAATGTTATGGCATTTGCTTTGAGATTTTGGTTTATTTTGTACGGCAATGCAACACTTGGGCGATCTGCCGAGGAGGGATGCCTACCGTTAGGACTTTCTATGGGATACTGACACGTATTCAGGTTTTGTTGATTGGGGGTTTTTTTTTACATGAGGGGTTATTGTTTGAAGGGTTTTTTTCCATGCTGGTGTTTTTATCCAAGGGTTGTTTGGGGCTTCATGCCTCTAAGCCTTCCAGATCTGGTCTCGGATTACATCTATGTAACTTCGTTCATGAGGTTAAGGAAAGACAGACAGCCAAAAATCTATCTATCTTCTCAAGATTAAGGGAAGACAGATGGACGACAGTAGGAATTTATAAGTCTACAAGTTTTTCAAATTGCAGCCCAAAAACAAAGTTTTTTCCCAAATTTTTCGTACCAAAATAGTCACATGGTGTGCGTGATACACCAGTCCTTTTTCATCTTTTTTGCAAGTAAACTTGGTGTGCAATCGAAACGTTATTAGTTGCATTTTTCACGCCCCGAAAACATTGGAAAACTTGAACTTTTCAAGGGAAAAATGAGCCTGAGAAAAAGTCACGTGACTTCTGTGTGATCCCATGTGATAAACCCCCTTTAGACACCTGGTGGTCAGAAAATCATATATAAGATGACATACTGTACTTCGTTTGTATCTGTACTTTTGTTAGAACGGTCGAAACGTTCAATCAGCATTAGGCTTCAATCCTATAGTTAGGAATCGAGATATTTAGTTACAGATTCATAGTTGGTAGGAAAGTGTAGTTTACGTTATCAACTTTATCAAAATGGAGCATGCGTGCTTTTTACTTTTTTCAGACATGGATATGGAAAGAATTCTCTATGACAACAAATCATCTAAAGGTGAACCCAATAACTGTTAAACGAGAGGAAAACACCAACACAGAACAGGAAGAATAGCTTGAAGAGGAACAAAAATTGATACTTTAACATCTCAACAAGATGAGAGCATGTTTTATATAGGGCATGATGCTATAACCTGCTGGAATAAAATTCCAGCACATCCTAGGAAAAAGAAGCAGCATGACATAGTTACACATCTTCCTGGTCCCATAGGTGATGCTAAAAATGCAATTTTTGGAATTTTTATTTATAGGAAAGGATATTTTAGAAATGTTAGTCAAATTTACAAATGAACAAATTAAAAGAATACAACCAAATTATGAAAGGGGAAGAGACACAAACCTAACCGATTTAGTTGAAGTAAAAGCACTTAACGGAATTTTATATGTAGCAGGTTGTAAAAAAACTAAATTGCTGCAATCCCGATGAAATGTGGACAGTGGATGGAACTGGCCTCAAAATTGTTAGAACTGTAATGAGTGAAAAAATATTTAGATTTCTATTGTGCAACTTATGATTCGACAATAAAAATTTTAAAAAGGAGCGCATTAAAACTGACAAGTTGGCTGCAATGAAAGATATGTTGGACATATTTGTAAAATCTGCAAGAAAAATTATTCGATGTCAGAATGCTGTACGATAGATGAGAAATTAGAAGGATTTAAGGGGCGATGCAGATTTTGACAATATGTGTCGAAGAAACCTAACGGATATGCATTAAAATTTTTATGTTAGTGGATACACAAATGTATTACAGTTATAATTTAGAAATCACTGTGGAAAACGACCAGAGGGTCAGTATTCTGTTTAAATTCATCAGATCAAATCATAAAACAGTGAATAAGACCCATAGCAAAGTCGGAGGAATTTGACAGTCGCTAATTGGTTTACCAGTTATAGCTTAGTCTCAGATTTGTTACAGGATAGAATTACAATGGTAGGAACAATAAGGGAAAACAAATGCAAACTTTTTTTTCAATTTACAGATAGAAGGGGTAGAAAAGTCTATAGTAGCCTATTTGAATTTTCAAAAGATTTAACCAGTCTCTTATGTACTGAAAAAAAATCAAAAATGTGTTGTTTTTATCTTCCTTTCATCATAACGACACTATTGACAATACTACAGGTGATCATAAAAAAACCTGTAATAGTTGCATTATATAACTATATAACTTGACCAAAGGAAGAGTAGATACATTAGATCAATTACTTCAAATTATAACATTCAAAGGAACACAAGAAGATGGACAATGGTTATTTTGTATGTCATTCTTATTGTATTGTCATTGTCATTGTTAATGGTTATTTTAAATAAAATTAAATATTATTACTGTGGTGTATGATGCACACATTATACACCACATCCAACACATCCTAGGAAAAACAAACAGCATGACATAGTAACACATTAACACATCTTCCTGGTCCCATAGGTGATGCTAAAAAAGCAACATCTATTGTGATGTATAATGCACACATTATACACCACAGTAATAATATTTAATTTTATTTAGAAAACTATAAAAGATACAAGCAGAAAAGGTTTCTTAAAGCAATTGGGAATGGAACTAATGTTCAAACAGATCGAGAGAAGAAAACATATGTACTGCCTTCCAAAAGATATAAGAGAAAGAGCCGAAAGGATACGTCCATCACCCAGCTCATCTGAAACTTCAGTAGAAACACAGAAAAAAAGAGGAAGATGTACAGAATGTGGAAGAGCAAAAAATGATATACACAGTATAAATGTAATAAATGTGGAAAATTTTTATGCCTGTCACATGTAATACCTATGTACAAAAACTGCATTGAAAATATTGCTACTGATTGTACAATACTTTTCATGTTATCTATATATTTTAATTTTTCTTCCTTTTATATTTTTTGTGTTAACCCGATACAAGAGAGAGGAGAAGCACTTTGAGAATGCAAACTATTTGAAATATAGCTGTTTGCAATTATAAAGTGTAGCAAGTAAAGCCCAAGGACAAGTGAAGTGTCTGAAAATTCTACAGACCATTGTTATGAAGGCTTAAATACATATGGAAACAATTAATGAAATTGGAAGTAAACTTTATCTGAAAAGTGAATCATCTTTGAACATAGTTTTAATATATTGATTTAAGTCTGTCCGCAGACTACTTGTTTCACCAACACAGACTATACGTGGTTCACAGACTACAGGTTGAGAAATGCTATCTTAACAGATAAGCTAAGCTGTTGTTTTAAAACTCACACTGCTGCTGGAATGAAAAAATATTTCTTTTTTATACATAAATATTTTAAAAATGATATTTTGAACATTATTTAATAATAATTTGGTAGTTATATTACTTATTAAGTTATTTTAATTCGGGCATTGGGGCTATTATTTTTTCATTTACTTAATTAATACCTGACTGCAAAATTGTCACATACTGATATATTGTAGTTAATTTTGTGATTCTTGTGCAAATCAAATGTGTTTGATCAAATACCTTACTTATAATGTAGGAGTGTCTTTTTTTTTATTTTGAATAATTAAAAATTATATACCAGTACTTGGGAATTCTATATTTAAATTTATATGTTAAAAACTTGTTAATTTTATCATGTGTTATCTTGTCAGTAGTGTGGACATCAAGTTTTAGTACCAAAATATATTCACGTTAATCTCTAATTATTTCTACAAGAATTGTATTTACAACATATTTACATATTAAAAGTGTTGTTTTACTTAAATTCTAAAATATATAGTAGTGATTGACACTTTAATTTTGCTCAATGTACGTCATTACATTAACTTTACCCTTAAATGTCAGCTACTATGCCAAAACATCATCATAAGGGTCATTCATTGTTTTATTTCTAATTGAGCAAGGATGACATCAAAAGTAATAAAATACAGTGAGGAAGACATGACCAAAGCACTAGAAGCTGTAAAGTCAGGATATTCAGTATCCAGCCAAATCATATAACCAAGAACCACTCTTTTATACAAACATACAGGAAAATATCCTGTTCAAAGAAAGATGGATTCCTTTTGCAATTGTAACTCAAACAGAAGAGCAATGGTTACAAGTAAATGGAGTATTTTTTAAGATCTAAAATGCTTAGTATTTAATGTTGTATTTAATTAAATAAACTAGTGAAGTAGCTTTCATAAAATATTCAATTTTTTTCCACTTCAATATTGCTTTCACTTCATTGTCGTGCATTCGCACTTTCAATGTCAGGTACTGTACTTTTGAAGCCATCTCAGGGACTGATACAAAATGCAAATTATCACTAAAATACATAAATTTAGTAACATACTTGATTACTTAATGATTTTCTAACTAAATTTGCATTTGTAATGCCACAAAACACCATAGTTAAGTAATATTTTTGAATTAAACAGTAATTTTGCACCAAAGACATTTCATAAACCTTTATAGTAGCTGCAACATATTCTTAAATATCAGCAGTTAAGTAAAAGTAAGATAAAGTAATTCTGCAGAGGCATATGACATTCCGAGTAAATTATACAGAACTTAGAATAATAGCTTCTAATTATTCTTAGTAGTATTAATGTTACAAGAAGTTTATTATTTTAGTTATCTTAAGTACAAATACAAGTAAAAAATAATTATTAAAATGATATAACATAATTTTACTTGTAAATATTAAGATCATCATTATGCATTGGATGTGTTATTGAAATCTAATATTTTATATTATCAATTTTTAGTTTTAAAGAAATCTATAACTGCGCATATCAATTCAGATGATAACGAAGATTTGTGGAATGAATATAATGATGAAGGTAAACATATCATGTATAAAAATTATTATTATTGGTACGTTATAACATTGAACATCAATATTATCATTGTCATATTACATTTATTTATTATATGATTTTCTATTGAATTTTTTCTTCAATATTACAGTAGAACCTCGTAAACTCGGCCTAATGTGGACCGAAGGGTGGCCGAGTTTGTGAAAATGCCGGGTTATCGGGAATGGGGTTAAAAAAAATAAGTACGAGTGTTTCCTCAGAAAATACTGTACTGTACTTGTATGTATTGTTTACTTGAGAATATAACAGAGAATAAACTGCCCAAATACCCTTAAACAAAGGAAAAGTACGTCCTTTATGAAGGCATAGAGCCTTTACTACATGAAAATGAAAATTAATGAATACACTGTGTACAGTAATTTACCTGATAAGACAGACCTCAGAAAAATACTTTATGAGAGCTTTTATACTTTTATAAAGCTGTCTATAATGAAAATTAATTAACTAAGGATTTTTTTGCCCTGCCAGGGTGTGGACGAGTTATCCGGAGTGCCAGGTTATCGAGGGCCGAGTTTTCGAGGTTCTACTGTATTTGAAATTCATATGTCAGCTTTCTGTTTTACAGTATTTTTGTTGATTAGATCATACCATTGATTCAATTATAATAAATTACAGATTAATAATTCATTTATTATTATTTAGAAACGAGATTTGTTCAGCCTCAGAATGCTGGATTCCGTCCATTGCCAGGTTTTAGTGCTCGTCCTGTTTCGAACTCTGACTTACCATTTGGAAAATGGAAGTTTTTCAATGAAGAGAAATATGGTAAAATATATAATAATTGTTTTTGGAGTTTTCTTTTTGTAATGGTTAAAATCTGAGTTTTGAATATCATTTTCATAAATTTTAATTAATATAATTTTCAGATCAAGAATGTCCACCACTTTACTTAATAGCCAAGGAGTGTGCTGCTTTAGGGGGAATTATGCCAGAAGGAAATCTAAAAAATATTCTTCTAAGGGCTTGCAATTGGCTAGAAATTTGTTATTCATGTGTAAGTTCTAACTTATTATAATCACACTCTATATTTTTAAATTATAATGCAAACTTAAATATGAAAGTAAAACTTGTGTATCACTGAATGAGAAGACATTGTATTCAGTTTAAAGTGTAGAGTGGTATGCTGTGATTCACGGTAATTTCCGAACAGTCCATTATAGCAAAAACAGTGTTTAAAATTGTAAATGATTATGCCTAAGCTTAATCATCTCAAAACAAATGTTTAATTAAATTATATGGTTACATGAAAATCAATCAAGAGAGAGATATATCTGGCCCCAAATGGCGAATCAGGTTGATATCAGGGCTTTTATTCACATAAAGCTGAAACAGTACAGTGTCAGGCAATTTTTCTTTCCATTGGCAAATCCTCTAAAACTTAATTTTGTTCTCTTTTCATTATTCATTTCTCAACATCACTAAGTTCTGGTTATCATCTTTCTGATCTGCATGTTTAAAAAATAACCTTATCTGGAATTCTTTGCTCTTTCCTTTTCATTTTTACTTATATCTTCTGTATGTATATCTCCATCTCCACTCTCACTGAAGTTATTACCACTGTAGACAGTAAACCAGCAAGACAAAAGAGAAAGAAAAAGAAATCTGTAAATTCTACATAGTATAAATTATAACAAAATATAATATAAAAATATATGGCAACACAGTATATTCAATGTGCTTACTTTTTTGGTATGACTAGAAGAAAATTATTTTTTCATCTGTAGATAAAGTTCTGTCTGAGAATTCTCTTATCCATAATTGCAACTTATACAAAAATGTTTTGGAATTATATTACAATCAGCAGGTTACTAAACTGTCTGAACCATGTCATGGGAAGTACGACAACTGCTATATTTAATTAAACATAATAAATTTTGAATAAACCGAAGGCTTAATTAATAAACAGCTGCACTGTAGTTGTTGAATGTTACAAATTCAAATGTGAAGGAATACTTGAACTCAAACTCTGATTGGAATTTTGATTATAAGTCATAAACAAATATGTTTACTGACTTAGATACAATCTGTACATTTCTATATTCAACGGTTGACTCAACAGTGAGAAAACATTTCTAAATGGACCGTTGAAATTAATGATGTCAGTGCTGTTCCACCATTGAGCTCAACAGTCTCAATGACACAAAAGACCGTTGAGTATTCAATAAACTAACATGGCAGCATTCGTGAAACAAGTAAATTTCACTTATAGAAACTATCGATTTGCTGTTGCTGTGGATGCTGTAATAGCGGACAGATTGATGAACGATCTGTATATGATAAAACATGTGATTGCATGATTATGTTGGATAATTTGGTCAATATTGAAATATTAAGCTTTTTTTCAGAAACACACTACCTCTACAAATTTGTCCAAAATTGATTACAACAGATATTTGGCCCGCTTTAAGTCTTCCTAATGATATATATAAATTCAAGAAATTCAAATTATTAAAAAAAGACCCAGTATAGAAGAAAATGATAGAGAAAGGTTCATTCAAATAGTGGTTAAGTGAGTTATTTTAGCAAAACAGTCACAATTGTTGTCTTCTCCTTATTTAAGTCAGCCATCATGAAAAGTGCCCTTTCAACGGAAACGTTTCTTTATTCTACAAAATGTGACGTCAGATCATTTAACGGCAAACTCACCGGTGATATAAGTGTTGAATTTAGAAACATATAGTATGTATAGAGGTATAGTCAACCTTTCGTGTAGACTTCTTGTCTACCCTCCAGATTTGCAGTACTTTATTGTACTTAATTTATAAAATAATTATCCTTTTCTATGTGTACCACAGATTTTATTTAAAAGCATTGTAAAATTACTTCTGTATCACTTTAGTTTTTACTCTTGAATAATAATCTTCCTATTGGTAAGGTGATTAGACAAAATGTTTTCAGATTATTATAAATTTATTTTCAAGATATAAATTTTAATAAGTATCAAAAACACATTTCAAATTCTATAAAAATTTATTCTGAAGCTAACATTTTATAAAGTTAGCTATAAAGAAATTTAATTGTTTCTTTACTCTTTTTAACTCTGCACAGATTGGAAGCCATAACAAATATTTTATAATGTTTTTAGAAAAAGTTGACATTATTCTCTGAATATTTTTTTAGACACTGTTTTTTTTATTCTTCATTTACTATTTTTAATTTTTAGTCAGTGATTATCATGAATAAAATGTTCAATTAAACAAAGAAAATACGTAATGAAACAAAAGAAAAGTTGTTGAGCAATAATGAAATTACAAATGATTACAATCTATGCAATTTCTTGATTAGGATAATAATATAAAATGGAACATATTATTTTTAGAAAAAGTCATACTCAAGCTTGCAATATTATTTCCCATTTTACAGGTGGAAAATGAATTGCAAAAGGCTTTATAACACCATTGCAGTGTTAGAGTTGTTTTTTTTTTTTTATTGTGATTGTATGTAAGTTTACAAGCAAATAAAATTCATGGTGTTAGATCTAATCGTAGGAGAGAAAGAACTACTAAAGATATAAATGCTATTGAACTAAAGCATTATTATTGACGTGACATGAACCGAAAGTAAATCAGAAGTAAAACTTTATATTTACATAATTCCTTTCTTTATTAAATTGTAAAAAAATAAAAGAAATTACTATGTGCATGATACATAAAGTATAAGAAATATACAGAAAGAGAATAAATTAAAAATAAAAATGATAGAATGAAGTGTGAAAGACTTATTTTCATTTTTTAATTAATTCTCTTTCTGATATACATATCATAATGCACCCTTTATGAGGTTAAGTTTGTATCTTGAAAATGGATTTATTAGACACTTAAAACATTTGTTCTGCTTCAAAGTCTACACAATTTTAATTAAGCAGTATTTAAATTAATTTTAATTTTGAATAACAATTAACACACAAACTCAGTCTGTTATATTCTTAAGTTTAGATATTAAATTTTAATACAAATACTGTATTTTAAAGGACAATAAAAAAGTTCCACAAAGACTGAAGCCTGTACTTCATAATAAGACTTTACTTCTAGACTACTACTGGAGTTAGATTTTTATCTTCCCTATAGTCAGCTTCTGTCTGAACTACCTCAATAATAATTTACATAATAGTAAAATTATAAATGTTACAATAAAAAGACCACATCAACGTAGATTTTTGTATTAAAATATAATGTGGGACATTTTAATACAGGGATTTTAATTTTGTAATTTTACTAGAGTTTATTAAACAGTGTTGATTATTTACTTCTATATTTAAGAATATCAACATCAATAAACTGAATTCGTATGTTGCTTTGTTGTTTGAGCTTGCTTTATTTCAAATTGTTTTAAGTAGTGTGATTCTATCATTTACTTTCCTCCCTGTTATGCATACAAAACATATTGAATCATTTCAAATTTGCCAAGCTTGTGTTTAGGGGCATTGATGCTATTAAATTTTGGTGTTTATAGATCAAGGGGATGTTGAGATAGAGGGGTGTCAATTTTTTTCAATATTTTTAGTGAAAAATAATGAAGTTATTGATGAATTTTATAACTTTTTTTAGGGTAAAAATAATGGACTTCAACTCGACGACTGCGACACGGGATTCTTGTATGGTATTCGCTCGGTATGTGAAGGTGACGTTCCTTGCCAGGCCACCGGAAGACTACTACTACTGTCTCTTCGTCAGACTGGAATCTCACAGAGATCTCTGACATCAGTATGTAATGCCGATCGTTGCATAGAACAGTTCCTCCTCCAGCCTTCTCCTTGATGTCCAGGATTTTTCATATATTAGTCACTCGGAGCAATAATCTACATTACATTTAGGTAACATTCTTAAAGAAAAAACAAAACTCAGTTCAAAGTAAAATTCATAATAGTAAAATAGCCATTTTTGCATACACAAAGCCATTTGATAAGATTTGCACCTATTTATTTAATTACGTAGCCAAATTATTTTATTTAAAATATTTTTTTTACTTACTTAATGGTAGTTTTGTTTGTATATTGTACATATAAATCATTTGCATTTATGCTAATACTAAGGTTTTCGTCCATCAAAAAATAGTCTTTGTGATCTTGTAAATATTCGGCGCTGTATAAGAGTGTCGATAATAACACGAATGTCCCTTATACAATTTATCCATAAATCTGTATTGAAGGTTTTTTCCTGTATCCTAAATTTATTTTCCAGTCTTAGGTCGATCGTAGCACCCACTCAATATGATTTGACAAATTTTCTGCATTCTCATTGGCAAGTGGAGTAACTAAGGGGGAAAGATGTGCACGTGCCCCGCGCCCCAACCTTGAGGGCACCAAAATGAACCCATGGAATGTTTTTGTAATTAAAATTGAATCAGGGACGGTTTGTCTCAGGGGCTAAAACTATTCGGCCCTGATAATCGGTCGCCATTTTTGATGTAGTTTCTTAGAGATTCGAAATATTAAAAAATAATGAAAAAGTTTAGAAGTGTTTTAAAGACGAAATTATTTTTTTAAATAAGTGCACAAATAATGGCATTATTATAATGTATTCATAAAATAATGTCATTAATTCAATGATAGATCGTTGTGACCAAATAACTGGCGAGTGCAGAAATATTTTTCTCTTTAATTAAATAAACCACTGATAAACTATTTCTTCTAAAATATCTTAAGATTCGTTTATTCGAAATATACGTGATGGAAATAAGTCGAATAAACAGCTGATGATGATATAAACAGTAACATTATTATAGATAATCGAATGGCCGAGGTGGAAAAGCGTTGATTTTCTGCTTCAATATCTTTGATTCTGGATCAGTCGATCAAAAAATTGTGCGGTGGTGTTACGGTCGATGCATTCAAGCAGCAAAATTAAGATGACATTGAGCATCGACGACAGACTGAGCCAATCGTCTCAGTCAATTGTCAAGGTGAAAAGAGATGATTGGTGGAACAGATCATGGACGTTTATTGTATTAATTTTGCGGTTTATGCNAAAATTGTGCGGTGGTGTTACGGTCGATGCATTCAAGCAGCAAAATTAAGATGACATTGAGCATCGACGACAGACTGAGCCAATCGTCTCAGTCAGTTGTCAAGGTGAAAAGAGATGATTGGTGGAACAGATCGTGGATGTTCATTGTATTAATTTTGCGGTTTATGCGCATAAGCTTATAAGATTCTAGTGTGAACTCGATTCAATATCCTGTAATCTATCACAGATCGGGACGTCCAGTGGCACATCCAGAAGGGAACGAGGGACCCAAAACAAAAAGAAAACAAAAACACTATTAAATTTTTCTAAAATGTTTTCCTATTTAAAATTAATTATTTTTATTTATATTGTGTGGTGTGTTCTATTTCTACATTACTTATGAATCAGTGGTCACATGAAGGTAAATTTCATTGAATTTGCATTAAAAATTTGTTATCTGTTCAACTCACTTCCCCAAGATTAAATCGAGAGTGTGCCATTGGGTACAACATTCCCATCCCTTGCGGTGCTAGCCGACTTCATTGCCGTGGGACTTGTCTCTATTGAGCAAAACTGTAGCGAGTCATACAACGTAGACAAACTGTTACCTGGTGTTAATTAAGCATTCGAATAGCCAGTTGGTTCCGGACTGGAGAATTTTCGTGGGTGATGGNGCTGTTGTTTTAAAACTCACACTGCTGCTGGAATGAAAAAATATTTCTTTTTTATACATAAATATTTTAAAAATGATATTTTGAACATTATTTAATTATAATTTGGTAGTTATATTACTTATTAAGTTATTTTAATTCGGGCATTGGGGCTATTATTTTTTCATTTACTTAATTAATACCTGACTGCAAAATTGTCACATACTGATATATTGTAGTTAATTTTGTGATTCTTGTGCAAATCAAATGTGTTTGATCAAATACCTTACTTATAATGTAGGAGTGTCTTTTTTTTTATTTTGAATAATTAAAAATTATATACCAGTAGCTTGGGAATTCTATATTTAAATTTATATGTTATATGTTAAAAACTTGTTAATTTTATCATGTGTTATCTTGTCAGTAGTGTGGACATCAAGTTTTAGTACCAAAATATATTCACGTTAATCTCTAATTATTTCTACAAGAATTGTATTTACAACATATTTACATATTAAAAGTGTTGTTTTACTTAAATTCTAAAATATATAGTAGTGATTGACACTTTAATTTTGCTCAATGTACCTCATTACATTAACTTTACCCTTAAATGTCAGCTACTATGCCAAAACATCATCATAAGGGTCATTCATTGTTTTATTTCTAATTGAGCAAGGATGACATCAAAAGTAATAAAATACAGTGAGGAAGACATGACCAAAGCACTAGAAGCTGTAAAGTCAGGATATTCAGTATCCAGCCAAATCATATAACCAAGAACCACTCTTTTATACAAACATACAGGAAAATATCCTGTTCAAAGAAAGATGGATTCCTTTTGCAATTGTAACTCAAACAGAAGAGCAATGGTTACAAGTAAATGGAGTATTTTTTAAGATCTAAAATGCTTAGTATTTAATGTTGTATTTAATTAAATAAACTAGTGAAGTAGCTTTCATAAAATATTCAATTTTTTTCCACTTCAATATTGCTTTCACTTCATTGTCGTGCATTCGCACTTTCAATGTCAGGTACTGTACTTTTGAAGCCATCTCAGGGACTGATACAAAATGCAAATTATCACTAAAATACATAAATTTAGTAACATACTTGATTACTTAATGATTTTCTAACTAAATTTGCATTTGTAATGCCACAAAACACCATAGTTAAGTAATATTTTTGAATTAAACAGTAATTTTGCACCAAAGACATTTCATAAACCTTTATAGTAGCTGCAACATATTCTTAAATATCAGCAGTTAAGTAAAAGTAAGATAAAGTAATTCTGCAGAGGCATATGACATTCCGAGTAAATTATACAGAACTTAGAATAATAGCTTCTAATTATTCTTAGTAGTATTAATGTTACAAGAAGTTTATTATTTTAGTTATCTTAAGTACAAATACAAGTAAAAAATAATTATTAAAATGATATAACATAATTTTACTTGTAAATATTAAGATCATCATTATGCATTGGATGTGTTATTGAAATCTAATATTTTATATTATCAATTTTTAGTTTTAAAGAAATCTATAACTGCGCATATCAATTCAGATGATAACGAAGATTTGTGGAATGAATATAATGATGAAGGTAAACATATCATGTATAAAAATTATTATTATTGGTACGTTATAACATTGAACATCAATATTATCATTGTCATATTACATTTATTTATTATATGATTTTCTATTGAATTTTTTCTTCAATATTACAGTAGAACCTCGTAAACTCGGCCTAATGTGGACCGAAGGGTGGCCGAGTTTGTGGAAATGCCGGGTTATCGGGAATGGGGTTAAAAAAAATAAGTACGAGTGTTTCCTCAGAAAATACTGTACTGTACTTGTATGTATTGTTTACTTGAGAATATAACAGAGAATAAACTGCCCAAATACCCTTAAACAAAGGAAAAGTACGTCCTTTATGAAGGCATAGAGCCTTTACTACATGAAAATGAAAATTAATGAATACACTGTGTACAGTAATTTACCTGATAAGACAGACCTCAGAAAAATACTTTATGAGAGCTTTTATACTTTTATAAAGCTGTCTATAATGAAAATTAATTAACTAAGGATTTTTTTGCCCTGCCAGGGTGTGGACGAGTTATCCGGAGTGCCAGGTTATCGAGGGCCGAGTTTTCGAGGTTCTACTGTATTTGAAATTCATATGTCAGCTTTCTGTTTTACAGTATTTTTGTTGATTAGATCATACCATTGATTCAATTATAATAAATTACAGATTAATAATTCATTTATTATTATTTAGAAACGAGATTTGTTCAGCCTCAGAATGCTGGATTCCGTCCATTGCCAGGTTTTAGTGCTCGTCCTGTTTCGAACTCTGACTTACCATTTGGAAAATGGAAGTTTTTCAATGAAGAGAAATATGGTAAAATATATAATAATTGTTTTTGGAGTTTTCTTTTTGTAATGGTTAAAATCTGAGTTTTGAATATCATTTTCATAAATTTTAATTAATATAATTTTCAGATCAAGAATGTCCACCACTTTACTTAATAGCCAAGGAGTGTGCTGCTTTAGGGGGAATTATGCCAGAAGGAAATCTAAAAAATATTCTTCTAAGGGCTTGCAATTGGCTAGAAATTTGTTATTCATGTGTAAGTTCTAACTTATTATAATCACACTCTATATTTTTAAATTATAATGCAAACTTAAATATGAAAGTAAAACTTGTGTATCACTGAATGAGAAGACATTGTATTCAGTTTAAAGTGTAGAGTGGTATGCTGTGATTCACGGTAATTTCCGAACAGTCCATTATAGCAAAAACAGTGTTTAAAATTGTAAATGATTATGCCTAAGCTTAATCATCTCAAAACAAATGTTTAATTAAATTATATGGTTACATGAAAATCAATCAAGAGAGAGATATATCTGGCCCCAAATGGCGAATCAGGTTGATATCAGGGCTTTTATTCACATAAAGCTGAAACAGTACAGTGTCAGGCAATTTTTCTTTCCATTGGCAAATCCTCTAAAACTTAATTTTGTTCTCTTTTCATTATTCATTTCTCAACATCACTAAGTTCTGGTTATCATCTTTCTGATCTGCATGTTTAAAAAATAACCTTATCTGGAATTCTTTGCTCTTTCCTTTTCATTTTTACTTATATCTTCTGTATGTATATCTCCATCTCCACTCTCACTGAAGTTATTACCACTGTAGACAGTAAACCAGCAAGACAAAAGAGAAAGAAAAAGAAATCTGTAAATTCTACATAGTATAAATTATAACAAAATATAATATAAAAATATATGGCAACACAGTATATTCAATGTGCTTACTTTTTTGGTATGACTAGAAGAAAATTATTTTTTCATCTGTAGATAAAGTTCTGTCTGAGAATTCTCTTATCCATAATTGCAACTTATACAAAAATGTTTTGGAATTATATTACAATCAGCAGGTTACTAAACTGTCTGAACCATGTCATGGGAAGTACGACAACTGCTATATTTAATTAAACATAATAAATTTTGAATAAACCGAAGGCTTAATTAATAAACAGCTGCACTGTAGTTGTTGAATGTTACAAATTCAAATGTGAAGGAATACTTGAACTCAAACTCTGATTGGAATTTTGATTATAAGTCATAAACAAATATGTTTACTGACTTAGATACAATCTGTACATTTCTATATTCAACGGTTGACTCAACAGTGAGAAAACATTTCTAAATGGACCGTTGAAATTAATGATGTCAGTGCTGTTCCACCATTGAGCTCAACAGTCTCAATGACACAAAAGACCGTTGAGTATTCAATAAACTAACATGGCAGCATTCGTGAAACAAGTAAATTTCACTTATAGAAACTATCGATTTGCTGTTGCTGTGGATGCTGTAATAGCGGACAGATTGATGAACGATCTGTATATGATAAAACATGTGATTGCATGATTATGTTGGATAATTTGGTCAATATTGAAATATTAAGCTTTTTTTCAGAAACACACTACCTCTACAAATTTGTCCAAAATTGATTACAACAGATATTTGGCCCGCTTTAAGTCTTCCTAATGATATATATAAATTCAAGAAATTCAAATTATTAAAAAAAGACCCAGTATAGAAGAAAATGATAGAGAAAGGTTCATTCAAATAGTGGTTAAGTGAGTTATTTTAGCAAAACAGTCACAATTGTTGTCTTCTCCTTATTTAAGTCAGCCATCATGAAAAGTGCCCTTTCAACGGAAACGTTTCTTTATTCTACAAAATGTGACGTCAGATCATTTAACGGCAAACTCACCGGTGATATAAGTGTTGAATTTAGAAACATATAGTATGTATAGAGGTATAGTCAACCTTTCGTGTAGACTTCTTGTCTACCCTCCAGATTTGCAGTACTTTATTGTACTTAATTTATAAAATAATTATCCTTTTCTATGTGTACCACAGATTTTATTTAAAAGCATTGTAAAATTACTTCTGTATCACTTTAGTTTTTACTCTTGAATAATAATCTTCCTATTGGTAAGGTGATTAGACAAAATGTTTTCAGATTATTATAAATTTATTTTCAAGATATAAATTTTAATAAGTATCAAAAACACATTTCAAATTCTATAAAAATTTATTCTGAAGCTAACATTTTATAAAGTTAGCTATAAAGAAATTTAATTGTTTCTTTACTCTTTTTAACTCTGCACAGATTGGAAGCCATAACAAATATTTTATAATGTTTTTAGAAAAAGTTGACATTATTCTCTGAATATTTTTTTAGACACTGTTTTTTTTATTCTTCATTTACTATTTTTAATTTTTAGTCAGTGATTATCATGAATAAAATGTTCAATTAAACAAAGAAAATACGTAATGAAACAAAAGAAAAGTTGTTGAGCAATAATGAAATTACAAATGATTACAATCTATGCAATTTCTTGATTAGGATAATAATATAAAATGGAACATATTATTTTTAGAAAAAGTCATACTCAAGCTTGCAATATTATTTCCCATTTTACAGGTGGAAAATGAATTGCAAAAGGCTTTATAACACCATTGCAGTGTTAGAGTTGTTTTTTTTTTTTTATTGTGATTGTATGTAAGTTTACAAGCAAATAAAATTCATGGTGTTAGATCTAATCGTAGGAGAGAAAGAACTACTAAAGATATAAATGCTATTGAACTAAAGCATTATTATTGACGTGACATGAACCGAAAGTAAATCAGAAGTAAAACTTTATATTTACATAATTCCTTTCTTTATTAAATTGTAAAAAAATAAAAGAAATTACTATGTGCATGATACATAAAGTATAAGAAATATACAGAAAGAGAATAAATTAAAAATAAAAATGATAGAATGAAGTGTGAAAGACTTATTTTCATTTTTTAATTAATTCTCTTTCTGATATACATATCATAATGCACCCTTTATGAGGTTAAGTTTGTATCTTGAAAATGGATTTATTAGACACTTAAAACATTTGTTCTGCTTCAAAGTCTACACAATTTTAATTAAGCAGTATTTAAATTAATTTTAATTTTGAATAACAATTAACACACAAACTCAGTCTGTTATATTCTTAAGTTTAGATATTAAATTTTAATACAAATACTGTATTTTAAAGGACAATAAAAAAGTTCCACAAAGACTGAAGCCTGTACTTCATAATAAGACTTTACTTCTAGACTACTACTGGAGTTAGATTTTTATCTTCCCTATAGTCAGCTTCTGTCTGAACTACCTCAATAATAATTTACATAATAGTAAAATTATAAATGTTACAATAAAAAGACCACATCAACGTAGATTTTTGTATTAAAATATAATGTGGGACATTTTAATACAGGGATTTTAATTTTGTAATTTTACTAGAGTTTATTAAACAGTGTTGATTATTTACTTCTATATTTAAGAATATCAACATCAATAAACTGAATTCGTATGTTGCTTTGTTGTTTGAGCTTGCTTTATTTCAAATTGTTTTAAGTAGTGTGATTCTATCATTTACTTTCCTCCCTGTTATGCATACAAAACATATTGAATCATTTCAAATTTGCCAAGCTTGTGTTTAGGGGCATTGATGCTATTAAATTTTGGTGTTTATAGATCAAGGGGATGTTGAGATAGAGGGGTGTCAATTTTTTTCAATATTTTTAGTGAAAAATAATGAAGTTATTGATGAATTTTATAACTTTTTTTAGGGTAAAAATAATGGACTTCAACTCGACGACTGCGACACGGGATTCTTGTATGGTATTCGCTCGGTATGTGAAGGTGACGTTCCTTGCCAGGCCACCGGAAGACTACTACTACTGTCTCTTCGTCAGACTGGAATCTCACAGAGATCTCTGACATCAGTATGTAATGCCGATCGTTGCATAGAACAGTTCCTCCTCCAGCCTTCTCCTTGATGTCCAGGATTTTTCATATATTAGTCACTCGGAGCAATAATCTACATTACATTTAGGTAACATTCTTAAAGAAAAAACAAAACTCAGTTCAAAGTAAAATTCATAATAGTAAAATAGCCATTTTTGCATACACAAAGCCATTTGATAAGATTTGCACCTATTTATTTAATTACGTAGCCAAATTATTTTATTTAAAATATTTTTTTTACTTACTTAATGGTAGTTTTGTTTGTATATTGTACATATAAATCATTTGCATTTATGCTAATACTAAGGTTTTCGTCCATCAAAAAATAGTCTTTGTGATCTTGTAAATATTCGGCGCTGTATAAGAGTGTCGATAATAACACGAATGTCCCTTATACAATTTATCCATAAATCTGTATTGAAGGTTTTTTCCTGTATCCTAAATTTATTTTCCAGTCTTAGGTCGATCGTAGCACCCACTCAATATGATTTGACAAATTTTCTGCATTCTCATTGGCAAGTGGAGTAACTAAGGGGGAAAGATGTGCACGTGCCCCGCGCCCCAACCTTGAGGGCACCAAAATGAACCCATGGAATGTTTTTGTAATTAAAATTGAATCAGGGACGGTTTGTCTCAGGGGCTAAAACTATTCGGCCCTGATAATCGGTCGCCATTTTTGATGTAGTTTCTTAGAGATTCGAAATATTAAAAAATAATGAAAAAGTTTAGAAGTGTTTTAAAGACGAAATTATTTTTTTAAATAAGTGCACAAATAATGGCATTATTATAATGTATTCATAAAATAATGTCATTAATTCAATGATAGATCGTTGTGACCAAATAACTGGCGAGTGCAGAAATATTTTTCTCTTTAATTAAATAAACCACTGATAAACTATTTCTTCTAAAATATCTTAAGATTCGTTTATTCGAAATATACGTGATGGAAATAAGTCGAATAAACAGCTGATGATGATATAAACAGTAACATTATTATAGATAATCGAATGGCCGAGGTGGAAAAGCGTTGATTTTCTGCTTCAATATCTTTGATTCTGGATCAGTCGATCAAAAAATTGTGCGGTGGTGTTACGGTCGATGCATTCAAGCAGCAAAATTAAGATGACATTGAGCATCGACGACAGACTGAGCCAATCGTCTCAGTCAATTGTCAAGGTGAAAAGAGATGATTGGTGGAACAGATCATGGACGTTTATTGTATTAATTTTGCGGTTTATGCACATAAGCTTATAAGATTCTAGCGTGAACTCGATTCAATATCCTGTAATCTATCACAGATCTGGACGTCCAGTGGCACATCCAGAAGGGAACGAGGGACCCAAAACAAAAAGAAAACAAAAACACTATTAAATTTTTCTAAAATGTTTTCCTATTTAAAATTAATTATTTTTATTTATATTCTGTGGTGTCTTCTATTTCTGCATTATTTATGAATCAGTGGTCACATGAGGGCGAATTTCATTGAATTTGCATTAAAAATTTGTTATCTGTTCAACTCGCTCCTCTAAGATTAAATCGCGAGTGTGCCATTGGGTACATCATTCTCCATCCCTTGCGGTGCTAGCCGACTTCATTGCCGTGGGACTTGTCTCTATTGAGCAAAACTGTAGCGAGTCATACAACGTAGACAAACTGTTACCTGGTGTTAATTAAGCATTCGAATAGCCAGTTGGTTCCGGACTGGAGAATTTTCGTGGGTGATGGTAACTCGGATCTAAAATCGTGACATATCCCAGAGATTTTTGCTGATCAAACTCCAGAATCTGTTTATTGTGGATCTGACAGAATCACGATGTGATCATTCGGACCATTTTGGAACATTGAAAAAAACACCATTTAGTGCTTGTAGGGTGGAAAACAAAGTGCATTACTTAAAACGTGATTTTTCTACTTTCGCAATGCGATAAAACTGCAGAAGTACTTGTAATGGAATATTTCATTGATCGATTAACTGCAGACACCAGCACGTTGTAGGCTATAGGTCACAATTATGCCTTATTAGGGTGGGTCCCACATATGGGGAAGTGACCAGTATGGTATGGGAAACATGTCCCGATCTGTTATACTGTCCACGATGTGTAACATTTCACGATAAAAGTGTACTTTCAATAAGGTTGATATGACTAATTTTTGTTGTTTATTTTAAGAAAGGTTACACTGTTGTTTCTTCTTATGTTCTGACCTTTTGCGTTGTTTAAGTATTATTTCTAACATTAAAAAGTAATAAAATGTCATCATCAAAAGTTGAAAAAACAAATAAATAAAACGGTTTTTCGAAATAAACTAATACAGCACTCGTAGGTAACGATTGTTGGTTCAATTTTCGTTTTGCCATTTGTTCTTGTCGTCGACTTTACCACCGCCAATTGTGTTGCAGAAACCAAACAGAATGTTTTTCTGCGAATTTCAATGAATTGTTGAAATTGCTCGAAANTGTAGGTTATAGGTCACAATTATGCTTTATTAGGGTGGATCCCACATATGCGGAAGTGACCAGTATGGTATGGGAAACATGTCCCGATCTGTTATACTGTTTACGATGTGTAACATTTCACAGTACAAGTGTACTTTCGATAAGGTTGATATGACTAATTTTTGTTGTTTATTTTAAGAAAGGTTACACTGTTGTTTCTTCTTATCTTCTGGCTTTTTGCGTTGTTTAAGTAGTATTTCTAACATTAAAAAGTAATAAAATGTCATCATCAAAAGTTGAAAACACAAATAAAGCGGTTTTTCGAAATACAGTAGCACTCGTATGTAACGATTGCCAGTTCCATTTTCGTTCTTGTCGTCGACTTTACCACCGCCAATTGTGCTGCAGAAACCAAACAGAATGTTTTTCTGCGAATTTCAATGAATTGTTGAAATTGCTCGAAAAAACGGCTAATCATTTCTTGTCTCTAAATAAGAAATTAGTCGAACATCCAAACATGTTATTAATAGCCATCATCGATCGGAAATGGCAACCAATTATACCTTCTGCCCCTGTTTCCATCGATCCTGTAGTTTACTTGCTATTCTAGAAGTGTATTCTGGTGATGAATATCAGTAATTTTATGGCGAAAGCTTGATTGGGAAACGATCTAAACATTTCGAAAACTCTTATACTTCATTCTAATTCGAATTTCTGTCTGTAAAGAAGCTAATTCTAGAATGATGAGTTTTAAAATTCAAAAAGCTGATCGAACTTCTCTTGGTTCACCGACTTACGCGGATGAATATTTCGTTTTAAATTAAATTTTGTGTGTATAAATAACCATTTTAATTTTTTAAAGGTTGCTTTTTTGTCAGGTGTTTCATTTTAAACAAAATTGTTTGACTATTAATATTATTATAATTGCAGTTAATAACATTCACACTTAATAAAACCAATTTATGTTGTAATCATCAAGAGAAAATGTTTGCGCGCCAAGCCACATACAAAAACTTAACATCAAGTTCGTTCGAAATTTTGTAATTCACTTGTGTAAGACTGGTTACTATCGGGTAAATTTTGTTAATGAAATGTTGAAAGTTTCTTGGAAACGAGCAAACTTTTATCCAAAGAACGTCAGATTTTTTCAAGTTTCCCATAAAAAACGCTCATAAGGATTAATTTCCGAGCTGTAGCAAAAAGTAAACTGTACCCTCCTAATATACCTCTGTAGCAATTATATGCAAAGACTTTCGATGGATTAATGCCTTGGCTTCAGTACAAATTTCGTAAACTTTAAGCAGAATAATCTAGTCCAAGGTTCGATTTACCGATTTATCCGTCTCTCGATATAAACGATGCGATTGAATGACTTAGATAAGAACGATTCGGAGTTCTAAGTACAAAATTTATTTACTCATTGAAACATTCGTATTCAGACGATAAATCGAAGTGAATTCTTCTGTTTAATTTTTCTATTCATTTCCTACTCTGGCGGTCGAATCTCCAACACAATATTCCCTCAGTTCCGGATTCACGAAAGCGTCGTAACCACGAATTTTCGTTTTTCTACTTCAAAATTTGGTGTTCACAAAACTCGTCATAACTGAAACTGTCGTAAATCGGCATCGTCATATTGCAACACGCAGTGAGTTGCAATATGACGATGCCGTCATATTGCAACTCACTGCATCGAAAATTTATCGTTGATTCAAGTCATTTTGTTCACGGAATTAATCTGATACTATCGAATGTCGGAGGAAACTATTTTTAGTTCAATTGAGGAACTGTAATGTGTAGAATAATATTCTCTTAATGATTTTGAAATTATAAACAGAATCGTTATAATGAATAATACAGAAATTTTACTAACCTTTTGTTTTTGAAACGGTTTTGTAATTCCTTTCAATTTACGTTGAATTTCATCTATGCTTTTAAGTACTGTGCATTTACTAACACTATTCACTTCTTTGCATATTAGGCTTAATTTTTAACAATTATCTTTACAGGTAACCGTTGGATCTAACCTTTCTTGTATTATTTTTCTTTCTTCCACTCCTTTCAACGCCAGTACTGTGGATAAAGTAAAACGATGCCTCTTCTTTTTCTCTCCCATTCTAACAATTCGCTCTATTTGAAAGTTCCCGGGCTATATTCCTATTGGACGAAACACTATACTCTCAGAATCGCTGATATTTTGTCGTAAATAGTAAATTCAATTACGATGAGCTTAGTGAATTTCAGATAAGATTTGTGGTATTTAACTACGTCGCGAGAATATGACGCTGTAACTAACGGCACTTTCTTGAATCTGTATCTTAGTTTGATAGGGATCTTGGTTCGAATCTCTCCGCGCACTGTGTAAATGGAATAGAAACTTGGCCCTTTCATTCTGGCGGTCGCTTTAATTGATTGGTGGGTTTGACCGTTTCGAAAAGGACTGTCGTGGAGGGACAAATGTAGAATTCATTAATTCGAAATACATTTGATGAAAATAAGTCGGATAAACGGCTAATGATGATGGTGATATAAACAGTAACATTTTCATAGATGATCGAATGACAGAGGCGAAAAAGCGTTGATTTTCTGCTTTAACATGTTTGATTCTGGATCAGTCGATCAGAAAATTGCGCGGTGGTGTTACGGTCGATGCATTCAAGCAGCAAAATTAAGATGACATTGAGCATCGACGACAGACTGAGCCAATCGTCTCAGTCAATTGTCAAGGTGAAAAGAGATGATTGGTGGAACAGATCATGGATGTTCATTGTATTAATTTTGCGGTTTATGCGCATAAGCTTATAAGATTCTAGCGTGAACTCGATTCAATATCACAGATCTGGACGTCCAGTGGCACATCCAGAGGGGAACGAGGGATTCTAGCACCCCCCAGAACAAAAAGAAAACAAAAACACTATTAAATTTTTCTAAAATGTTTTCCTATTTAAAATTAATTATTTTTATTTATATTGTGTGGTGTGTTCTATTTCTACATTACTTATGAATCAGTGGTCACATGAAGGTAAATTTCATTTAATTTGCATTAAAAAATTTATGTTATCTGTTCAACTCGCTCCTCTAAGATTAAATCGCGAGTGTGCCATTGGGTACATCATTCTCCATCCCTTGCCGTGCTAGCCGACTTCATTGCCGTGGGACTAGTCTCTATTGAGCAAAACTGTAGCGAGTCATACAACGTAGACAACCTGTTACCTGGTGTTAATTAAGCATTCGAATAGGTAATTTGTTTCAGACTGGAGAATTTTCGTGGGTGATGGTAACTCGGATCTAAAA